GGAAATTGTCCTTAGGGACATAAGAATGGAAAAGGGCTGGCAGCAATTTAAGTATTGAAGAAATGCACTTTGTTTTATATTCAGTCTCAGAGCAAATTCCAAAGCAGCTTGTTAGTGTGTTGCCTAGCTTGAGTATCCACAAAAGATCATGCAAAAGCTTAACAGCTACCTGTACTATAAACATCTACATTCATTCTGCAACAGAAATGAAATTTGAATCCTTGTTTCGCTTCTAGGGGCAGAATGATTTTGCAAATTGTTCAAAAATTGTGTTGCACAGTAAGCTATTGGCAATGAACCTACCTAGTTCTCATTTTCCAGTTTTCCTCTGTTCCTCTGTTCTTTCATTCTTCTCACTTTGTAAGCAGAGGTGAATTAGGAATAGAGTCAAAAAAACAGCCTCCTAACAACAACTTCTTATTTGAATAAGAATAACAAGAGCTAACTTGTGCAGGCTACAAGGTACAGTAATGAGAATTAGTGGTTACTTGAGAGTACAGGCTAAATAAGGCCACTTTATCAAATCAAATATGATCTATGTGAAATATAGTTCTCTTTACAAATGCAGTAGGAACCTGTCAGTATTTGTACTTTAACCAGGATGCAAATGTTAGCACTATATTTTATTCAATACTAAAAATGAAGTATATTTAAGAGTCCAGTGAAGTGCACTAAGATTTAGTAGAAAATAATCATGCTACAGTCAACACGTCAAAAAGATTCGTTGTTAATAAGCAGAATTAAGCAAGTCAAAATCTCTTCACCTCTTAATCTAGTGAAAGTTGTTGATTTATATGTAGTGAAAATACTCGAACTAATAGGTAAAAAAAGACTTGGACTTTTATTTGCTCATGTAAGTGCATAAAAGAATGTTCCACCTGGCATGACACAGGAAATAGTTCAGCACTGAGCACCAGTACAAGCAGTCAAGCAACTATAAACTGTAAAGAAGAAAAAGAGCAAAATAATAGTTGTTTACTAGCAATATTCTCTGTGCACCCAGACCCTGAAGTAATTACAGAAAGGGAAAATTCTATTAAACAAAGAATTGTCTTGTTCACTCTAATATTGCAGAAACCTGCATATTTTATAGTTTTGGCATGCCCATAATTTCAGCCCTCATTCTTTTCTTGAAATCTTGTTAAACCTTACGTGCTCATCTTTCGCTTTTAATTCATTCAATTTAGGATATTGCATAATGGCAACAAATAGATAACAAAGTAGAATTATACTTGCTACATTTTATTCCTATTTGCATTTTTAAGGCCTTTAGTTTCTGACTCTCTGCCAGTAGAAATTTGCTCTTTTTGCCTTAATGAAATCATTTTTTTCCCTGCCTTTTTGAACGCAATCATACAAGGATTTTGCAAGTTCACTACAGGATTTAATTTATCTTTCAGAACTTCTGTTCTGGGTTAGAGCTGAGATACCTCACCATTTAAAGGGTAATTATCACGTGAAGTGTGTTGTGTAGGCTTTGCTTCAACATGCTTCATCTTAGCTTTCTCTTTCTTCTGAAAGAAATTTGAAGGTAAAGTACTGTTAGTAAGCCATGTTAATTTTGTTGTCCATTTTACTTGCAGATGACATTTACTAACTTGATATAAGTCTACTTATTAGTAAACAAGGCTTCAACATTAGTATTGATAGAGACAGCTGATGTGAGTTTTCTGCTCTCAGCACACAATTCCTCCAAATTATACTTCTTCACAGATAGCTTGGATTTTTCATGACTCTGTGAGTTAACAGTGCTGATGTTGTCTTAGATATCCCAAAACTAAACTATGTTCTAATAGTAAATACAAAACGCTGCATGAAGAGTTATGTCTTAAATCTAGCTCTTTGGTGATTTAGGAATTGGTAATTGAGGAAGTCTATAGGCAGTCATGCTCACATTGTAATCCACACAAACCCCATCTTTCTCCTTCTGAAACAGACTGAAGCAAAAATAGATGGGAGAAAGAAGCTGAAGGGGAAGATCATGGCTATCTTGTAAAAATGGTTTATTCTTAACCACTTTCTCTTTTACTTACAAACCCAGAACTTAGAATGCAAATTGAAATAGTGAGCAGCAGAGGATCAATACCTAGCGTGAAGGCATTCAAACTCAGATTCCTAAGGCCAGACCAGAAAGAATGCCTTTGTACCTGAATGAGAAAGAGCACAACTAGAAAAATTACTAATGATCCTAGTCATTAGACAGAGGGAGATGAGATCAATGCATGTTGCAGCTGTGTCAAATTAATAGAAGGAGAAGCGCAGGGAGCATGAACTTTGGAAACTATCTGCATAAAGTCTGACTGTAAGAAAGCTAAAATTTATGGGATTAGTGGAATTAGCTTGAAGAAAAAAGGATTGACAGATGCAGTGTAGGTTATGTGAACTAATAATACACTATTTTTGCAATGGTTTGACTCATGCAGCTGTAAGGAATCATAGAATCATAGAATCACCAAGGTTGGAAAAGACCTAAAAGATCACCCAGTCCAACCGTTCACCTATTCCCAATAGCTCCTACTAAACCATGTCCCTCAACACAACATCCAGCCTTTCCTTGAACACCCCCAGGGTCGGTGACTCCACCACCTCCCTGGGCATCCGTTCCAGTGCCTGACCACCCTTTCTGAACAGTAATACTTCCTCATGTCCAGCCTGAATCTCCCCTGCCGTAGCTTGAAGCCATTCCCCCTGGTCCTATCACTAATGACACGAGAGAAGAGGCCGACCCCCAGCTCACTACAGCCTCCCTTCAGGAAGTTATAGAGAGCAATGAGGTCTCCCCTGAGCCTCCTCTTCTCCAGGCTGAAAGAAAGATGGGATTAAAAAAAAAAAAAAGAATCTGAACAATGCAGGTAGAGCACCCAACATTTTTGAGGGTTTTTTTTATATCTTGCTGATATATGTTAGGGCTCTCATCCAGTCTTGCTGTGCTGTGTTTAGGTTAATCCAAAATGATCTATTATTTTCTTAATATTACAGCCAATAATCGTTATTCAGTTTTAAAGATGGCTGTAATTTTTCTAAAATAATTTCTTGGTATCAGAAATCAATTTTGACATGATATACATCTTTATGGCAAAAGATGATGATGGCAGGGTCTTTGAGCAAGATACAAGCACTGTTGAGCAGTAACAGATAATCAGAAGGGAAAATCAGCTCACCCCCTTCCAACAACCTGTGACAGCTCAAGAGAAATACAATCTCCGTCCAGAGAGAAGCCTCATTTGGCTTCTAACCCTTAAGTGTGGGTAAGGAGGAGTGGATCCAGGCTCCACACCTTCCTGTTGTTCAGGTGCTTTGCTTGCACCTGAGCTCCTTGAGTTAGCCACTCCTTCTCATCTGCTGCTCAAACATTGGTTCAGGCCACCATCTGGCAATTCCACAGCAACAGCTAATGTGTAAGATCTGTTGATGTGTTCAAATATATGTTTTGGTAAAATGGCAATAAATCTATGCTATTCTGCTAGCAGAAATCATAAACAGACTAGATCAAATGAGATGCATTTTTTTTCCCCAGTGTTATCTTAGTGTTACTGTCATGGTGATCTCTTAGCCAAACATCTACTATATTTTTACTGTACAGGCTGTTTCTGGATTTATTTCTTTTCATATTCTACTTGTGCTGTGTTTTTACATTATTTGCCTTGTAAACCACTTTCAAAGATCTGCAGTTAGGAAGCAGTATTTCTAATTTTGGGGGGTACGTAGGGAAATGTAACCCTTTCAGTTTGAGCAATTTGGCTTCTGAAATCCTTCAGAGCTATCTTCTTTCTTGCTATCTCAGCAAGGAATATGTTATCTCATAAAATACCAGTGTTTTTGATGGCAAGAAATAAGTAGAAACAAATCCAGAAAACTTCCTTCCTGCTTAATCTGAAAAAATGTTCTAAATGTTGCTCTAGTTCTGCAGGGCTTACTTGAATTTATTTTCCATTTGACCTTTACAACATTCCCTTAGGATGTGTGGGCAGATCCTTGTTCATTACAATCTGATACCATCAGTGTTCAACAAGAACAAGATACGCAGAAGATATTGTCAGGTTATTTTTTTGCCAACTCCTTCTATTACAAGCCTGTTTGTGAGTAGCAGCATCCTGCTCCACATACTTAACGATTGTTCTCACACCTCACAAATACATAAGAAACAACAACAAGGTTCCAGTTGCAGTAATTCTGTAGAGCGTAAACTGATGGAAATTTCAAGGAGGAATTAATTTGAAAGGCGACTGTCTTCCTGCACTATCTGCTTACTTCTTTTACTTACGTATTTTTTTCTTACTGGGAAGGACAGAGGTTTAACACAGAAAACAGAATTTCAATATGAAACTCTAGAAGTGTTCATGTCTGAATTTCTCTGGTAGTGAATAAGACAAGAAAGGGCATGATTGCATGTAAATATTTGATAATTACTAAACTGAAGAAGGTATTTTTACCTTTCTAATATAATTTTACCTTTCTATTTATTCAGAGAAATTGCACACAATTTCTTGTCTGTGATTTATGTTTCTGTTTTCATGTATTAGTTTGTGCAATCTGTCTCTTGGACCTCAGGAACAATTATCCTTATGTTTATGTGAGGCATCTGAGCACTGACGCTGGGAGTGAAAAAATTTACACAACCTCCTTGGGCAACCTGTTCTAGCACTTCACACCCTCTGTGTGAAAAACTTCCTCCTGATATCTAACCTAAACCTCTCCTGTCTCACTTTAAAACCATTCCCCCTTGTTCTATCACTATCCACTCTTGTAATAGTTATATCCCCTCTTATTTGCATGCTCCCTTCAAGTTCTGGAAGACCAAAATGAGGTCTCCCTCATTGGAGGAGACTTCTCCAAACTAGATAATCTTGTATTGTAAGATTGGATTGTGATACTGACTGTACAAGGTGCCTTGACTGAGCAAAACTGCCCAAGGGAGAGTGGAGCAGGAAAGGGCAGAAATTTGAATGCAATAGACTGAGTTTATATTATACTTACTATTTGTCTTCCCAATGTAAAAGGCATCAGGAAAAAAGAAGCCAATCCTCAAGGCAATATAGTGGAATCATAGAAACCGTTTATTCATACTTATTTCTGAAAGGACAAGTAATACAAAATACGTACAGTTACAAGAGGTGTTTGAGAAAATGGCATGGAATGTCTGAAGGTAAGATGCAAAGTCCTTGTTTAGTCTTTGATCATGTTTCCTTAGGGATCAGTAGTTCATTTGGTAACACAGGTGCAAGTGGAAATGAGAAAGATATATAAAATATATCTATATAAAATATAGCTGTGAAGCATTTGCTATCCATGCCTGCAGAGTTCATAACTCTGCTTACAAGATAGCTATTAAAAGTATAGGTAAAACTTTCCTTTTATTCATCTGTCAAATGCTGAACCTGGATGTTTGAGTATTTAGTTTGATTCCCTTGGTCTGAGATTGTCTAGCTACAGAAATTAACATGAACAATTTTTTACTTTTCAGAAAGGCATGCCTATGAATGTGCAGAAAGGGAGACATTTTCTATAAAAGACAACTAGAAGATTGTTTAGGACATAGTTCTGTTTTGTGCTGTGCAAAGTCTATGATTAATTCTTAGACTTTGTGTAGACCTTTTGCATTGAGCTCAATTTTACCCAGGCAGTGGAGCTCTTCTGTAGAAAGAGTCAAGAGCAGCAGCATAGTTTGATATTGAAAGCCAAATTCAGATTTGAAACAAATGGTGCAATCTCACTTCTCCAGTTAAATTCCATCAGGTCTGAATTTAGCCCAAAGCACTTCAACTTAAATCTTGTGAGTATCGCATCTTTCATGAAGTTTTCTGGTGGTGATATATTTCACCTTCAGTCAGTTGTATAAAAAACAAAACAGGAGCACTAACTAGCCGAAGGTAATGGCAACAGAAATGGAAACAGTTAAAATACAGGCTGAACACTGTTAAAAAAATTATAATAAATCATCATATGTACTCAAATCAATTCAGTCAGTATAATAAACTAATGACTGTGCAGTGCACTGGTGTATAGAAAATATCAAACAGGAAATATTACCAATGATTAACTATCTGTCATTTCACTGCGGACAATAAGTCACCTTCCTGAGAAAGCAGTTATGATAGAATATAATGTAATAAAGTCATTTGGTAGCTTCCAATAGGGAAACCAACAGCCAGTCTCTGCAGCCAGTGCAACTTTAGAGGCAACTGCTTCTTATCCTGACTGCAGCCCTTTAAATGAAGTTTCCCTTCATTTCTGGGGACTATGTTGAAATCAAAATTTGTTTGTAATAGCAGTAGAAGTTGCTCTTTGCTTCTCTTGCAAACATTAAGATAGTTTCTATTCCAGCTTAGTGCTTCTTTTCTGGCTTGATAAATAACTGTTCTTCAGTATTTCTAATAATCGGAATAAAATGCTGGCCACGCTCTGCTCACCATTTGTTTCACCATTTGTTACGCTGTTATTTGCTTTTTTTTTTTTAATGTACATAATAGAAAGGTAATTTGGGGAAATTGATTCATTAATAATTGCAGTCATAATGCTACAACTTTAATTTCTTCAGAGTGGAATGAATAGCTGTTGTATTACTTTTTAATTTACAGGTTGGAAATCTAGGGAGTACAGAAAGGTAAAATGTATTCAGAGCTCAAAAATGAGCACTGAATGTATATGGATACAATGGTAACAATAAGGAATAAGTAATAAATCAGGTAATGCATGATAAAATTAGCTTTAATCTGAGGATGACAAAAGTATATGCGACGTCTATGGATGAAGTCTTGCAAGTTGTTACTACTGAGATATCATCTATTTTGTCACTAGCTCAGCAAATGCATGCCACTTACACCTTCTTTAATAGCAAGACAGAACAAAAGTGGCTGAGGTACTGGGCTGTTTTTTGCGCCATCCTCTGTAACAGTTTTTGATATTAAACACTCCATTTTGAATACAACAGAGTGGTACAGATCAGGTGACATTTCCAGTAAGACACAAATGGGGATGTGTGTTATGCTCCTGGAAGCTCCAGGCCAAGATGTAAGTGTCTGGTTTGTTTGGCCCTTTTCTGTTACCTCACATCTAGGGATTTACTCTTAGGAAGAGCTGTCACTGTTAGAGTTGGAAACATTTCTGTCAGCTCTGAACAACACGTGTTGGCTGAACTCAGTTCAGTGATTCACTGGAAAAAAAAAAAAAATGCAGATCCAGCACAGCTCCCCATCTGTCTGCTGAAATATTTTCACTTGGTCTAAATAAGATTTGTAACATTTTTGAATCTTGTAGAGACAGCCAGTGGCATCACGGCAAGGGGCAACTTCCAGCTGTGATGTTCTTTCTTCCTGATCCACTCAGCAGCTCCTGAAGGAATGAGGTGAAAATCAACATTGCTGTCATGATGCTGAGTATCACCAGCCACAACAGTAAGTGTTTGCCTTTGGTGTGACTTCCAGATGCTGTCATGGCTTGGGGGAACCTACTATTTGCTGTTTCACGAGCAGCACCAAAAATGTTGGAATGTATTTAGAGCAGTCATTGGTTCATAAGGACACTGGAAAAGGCTGCTAAAAAAAATTGACCACTCCAGCTAAGAGAACAGTGGAGGAGTGAAAGCCAACATGGTGAGCTTTGGGTTATTCTAATGCATTAGGAATTGTAATGACATTCTCCACTACATGTTAGCCTTGCTGAAATTCAAAGCTTCTAACTCCTGACTGGGTTTGTACTGTTTTGTTTTGAGCATGAGAATTATCCTAAATAATGATCATTCGATGTGGCTATTGTGGCAGCTTTGATTATGTGCCAGCTACTACTAAATTTCTGTACATTTTTGTGGTTTGGTGTAATGAGCGTTCTTACAGTCAGTAAGAACTTCATCACTGAAATTAATTTATGTTGTTTTTTTACAAACTACATTTCTGTAATTAATCCTAGAATTCTCCCTATGACAGATTTTCTCTACGTAAAAGAAAATCTCAATGTAATACATTTTTCTTCTATTTTTCATGTATTTAAGCTTTTAAAAAGCATGTGATTTGGATTCTGTTCTTCAAAAGAAAAGGCTTGGCTATGGTGAGCTATTTTAACAACATTAAAATTGTCACTCTTCCACCTTGACAGTACTGACTTACTGATTAATAGGCCATCATCTTGCCTTTGTATAAAGCAATCTCTCTTGGCTCCTGCTGAATTACCACAGGAGCTGTAAAACAGACTGCTGCACAAAGGACAAGTTTCCACCACTCAAAACCCAGTGAGAGTCACTGAATTGTATTAGGGCAGCAGCTCCTGGCTCATGAGGAGTTCCTCAGGCAGATGACCTATTGCTCTAAATGAGGACAATTTACTAGCTTGGGCTTGTAGTCTCCTCTGAATAGAACTGAGCTCTTCTAAAATTCTGCATTCTCATTTCTTTCAGCTTTGATTTCTGTTATGGGAACACTGAGCAGCCAGGTTAAAAGGATTCACACAAACCTTGTGCTCTCTTTGTATTTTCACTGAATCTCAAAGTAGATCTTTAGTAGTGCACAGTTAATCAATTGACTTGAATGAATTGTCTGCATGTCTGGGATGGAGAAGCTGCAAGCATCTTGAAAACAGGGTTAGAGAAGTCATATTCTGCTGAATTATTCCTTACAGCAGCGTGGAAACATGTTATTCTGAAGATTTCATGCTTTTTGCCAATCTTTCATTTAAACCTGTAATGTTTGCACCACTTTGGCTCTTGAGAATTTATTTATTGTATTTGTAAGTCGTTCGTTCATCATCGAAGTGGAGCTGTTCTTTTTACTCAAGCCACAAAATAGCTGCTTGAAAACAGAATCTTTATAATACAGCAAGAAACAACTCGAGAACAAAATTTAGAAGAATATTTTGCTCTTTTCTCCTTCCCGTTTGCTATGCAAGGCTTCCATTCTATGTGCACCCTGTTGGTTTATTCAAGTATGAATCTGCCTCCGGTATGTATTCTTGCTCCAGTATCTTGCATTTCTAAATGGTAACAGGTGTGGAGAATATAATATTTTGCCACCTACTTCTTTGGTGGTGCTGATTGCACCCAGTTCACTGTTTTATTTATCTCTCTCTCTCTCTCTCTCTCTCTCTCTCTCTCCGTTTTTTCATTTTACCAAAGTTAATAGAATCACATTTCATGATTCTCATATTTATTATTCGTAATTCTCTAATGACAAATTCTCTTGATGCATATCCAAATTAAACTTCTTTTAGGGTTGGAGTTAAAAATGGTCACTGTTTTGCTGCCTCCCCACCTCTGAAGTTTGCATTTCATTCTTTCAAACAGTGTTTCCTGAAGTTTATGCATCTCACAATTTGACGTATAGATTATAAGGTCTTCAAGATAAAAGTAGATAAATTGAAGAGAAGCTTCATCATCTGAACAGGAACAGATGTATTTGTGGGGTCATTTATTTCTCATTATAGGAGGGACTATATGACCTTTGTGGCACTTACACTTCAAACAGGCAATAGGTGGATGGTATGGAGTGTTATATTTCTTTGAAACTCTTGTCTGAGCTGTTTAAAGTTATTTGTTATACAAAGATTCATGTTAAATATATCAATAAGCCACACAGTAGATCATAAGCATCGCGGTAGATATTTACCATGCAGAACAATGTGAGCAATACATCCTAACAATTTGGTTTAGATAATACATGGATTATCAGATATTCAGGTAACCAAAAAGACTGAGTTTTGATTAGTGACCCGTGACTAGGAGTGACTGCAGGACCCCAGCAAGACTGTGGGAGAGCACAGTCCCATTCTCTGTGAGCATTTTTTCATTGTGTATCTATATTTGATTTACCTGCCAATAATAACATGCTTTGCACTGAGATGACAAAAGGCATTCACACTAGACATCATAAGCTTTAACAGATCTGCTTTTGTCAACAGCTCTACTTTTGTAGATTCCTATGTTTTCTTTTATAATATAGACAGACTGTTCAGATAGCAGATGAGCTGTTCTATCTTTCCTCTATTTACACCCTTTGGAGAAGGTCAATGAAAAAGCATGCACCATTTATATCAACCTGTTTTGAAGATTTTCAATGCAAATAGCATCTCTTCTGTGTATCCTTATTTTCTGCCTTTTACCTCTTTTTTTTGAGCTGGCTTATCAAAGAGTCCTTCAGCTTCAGTTGTGTTGGCTTCTCTCTTGCACTGCATTAGCCTCATGTTCAAAAAATAGGTGTGTGAAGTTTCATGACTTGGAAAAGAATAAATTTAAAATGAAAATCAAAAGAGAAATACACAAACTGTCAGAGGATTTAGCACAGTTCTCAAAAGCTTCATACTTTTAAAAACCTCTCCAACATTCAAAATTTTTTTTCCAGTATATTTGTAAGACCAACAAATAAATATTGGGCAATAATCTAAAAAAAAACCACCAACCATTATCTACTACGTTTCTGTAGAGTCACTCCAATGTAAGCTTTACAGTCATCTCCATTTTCACTCTGTCCCTATGGATTTCACTCTAATGTATCTTACAATGTCTCACTTGAGTATTCTTCAGATAATCATTTCTCCTAACTCATCTCAAATCTTACACTTATTCTGGAAATTTCTTGTCTATGGAATACTTTTTTTTTCTTCCAGTAGATCCACAGAATAATGCTAGTGTTAGTTCTGACAAGGACCAATGCTTCTGTGATCTACAGAACTCTATTTTCTGGATGTGAAATCAAGGGTGATCAATCTCACACTGTGGCTTGATTATGTTTACTATGAACAGGAGTTGACAGAACATAGTAACCATTCACTTAAATCTTTAATTTCAGAGGCAATATGTTAGATAAAAAAGGGATTTGTAGCTGCAGGGTTTTGGTTAGGAAATAGTATTTAAATAGTAGTTCTTCTAGTTGAGGCTCAAAAATTAAGACTATTTAGAGTACTAAATGGAAAACGTCTTGTAGTTGTAATTGTGCTGTTGCATAAAATCACATCCAAATTATTGTTATTCTGATTGTGAAGTACTTTCTGTAACTGCAGTTGTATAATAAAGGGAAAATTAGTATAGTGCACTTATGAGGCTCATACTGTAATTGTAAAGAAAAACGACTTTCTTTGCATTCAGCCTAATGTTTTCTAACAGGGCTATTTGCATTTATGAAGGCAAATTCAAATTGTGAAAGTTTAGGCATTTTGGGATACATGAACCTGAAATTAAAACAGTAAAATTGGTTGAGGTGTTCTAAATTGAGATTTATATCTGGGCAGCCTCAAATCGAGTGTGTGCGTATATGTGTGTGTGTGTATATATATATATATATGTATATACTCCTTTTCCTGTTTTCTTCAACCCACTTCATGCCTTTTCCATTTAGAACTGTGCTGCTTTCTGCTACATATATGTATATATATATATATATATGTATGTACATATACATATATACAAGTATGTGCATACATTCTGGCATGTATGCATGCCAGAATGTATACATGTATACATGCTAGAGTACATACTCGAGGGCTTGTCTTCTGACTGATTAGTTACAATTATTTAGCATATTCTATTTAACAGAAAAATATTTTAAATTAAAACTGAGCTGTTTCTCTTGCAGAATGTGTATTCAATGATGAGCTAATCCTAGGGAACAGAAAGGATTGATTCAATTTTATGTAAGTTCACCTGCCAGTCACAAGCAAATTCCATGGAAGAGTTGCTTGTTAATTACTCTAATTTACATTTTAAGTAAGGAGATGTGAGAACAGCCAAGATGCTGAAGATAGCTTTAAAATAAATTCATCATTATTTACAGTGATATATTGATGCTTAACATCTAAATACCAACTTAAACGTAGATAAATACTGAAGTTTACTTAAAAGTAGTCTAAGTGAAATAACATTAAACTGATGTGAGTTGAACAATATTAATCAACCTAAGGAAAATAAAGGGCAGGAAAGCAGCTTGAATAAAGCAAATGAAGAACACAGGAGGAAAAGTACGTTTGTACTTAACCTGTTAAAACTACTTAGTATTGGACTAATTCTACTCCCGAAGAACTCTGGAAATTTCACATCTGATTTCAGCAACAAATAGTTCAAGTAGGTCAGGATCTTTTTTACTCAGTCTCATACTACATCCTAAAATAATTTGAGCTTTCATTGAAGGGCTGATTAGATTTTACATACACTATTGTCATGGTTTTATAATTTTGTTATCTGTATTCCACATCATAACATCATGCAAAGCATGGGGAATTGAAGAGTTAATACTCCAGTTCCAGGGACTGACAACTTTCCAGATACCTGGTTCTCAGAAGAGAGAAAAGAACTACACCCAATGGACTTCATGTTCAAAGAGGAAGATAAGCCACGGGAGGAAGTCACGGAATCTCTCTCTCTTGCTCCTTCAGTTCAAAGTAAGGCTTTCATTTTCAGACACTCTCTCTCTCATTTTATTTTGTTTCTTAGCCTCAATTCCAATTACATTTTCTTATATCTTGCATTCTGATATCATATTTAGTGATATTAAGTTTTCCTCCTTAGATGGGTGCCACTGCCTGTTTTGGGGGCCAGCTCCCTTCTCCCTACCCTTCCACTTTTCCCTTCTCATTTTTGGGCTGGGGGGCCTACCGGCCTTCTGCCCCCTGTCATGGGCACAGATTGATCTAGATAACTGCATGATAGCTTGTATGAATCCTTCTTCCCTTTTTGTTGTTTGTTGGTGGTTTTTTTGTTTTTGTTTTTGTTTTTTTTTTTCTCAGAACTTTCTTCCTAAGGTATTTCTTGCGATAAGACTGACTTGTCTAGGAGATGAGTGATGGGTGTTGTCATGTGGCAACCAACATTACTGTGTGGACAATTTTAGCTGTTTGGCTTCGGAAAGTAGTGCTCAGGATTATTTGCTTACAAAAGATCTAGCCTGTGACCAAATAACTCCAGCTTGCTATGGGAGACTGGGGGATGATGCCATTGAATCCTGTGAAGGCAAGATACAAGTTGGCACCTTATCTGCTGGCTAGGCAAGGAAGATAGGAACAAAGGAGTTTCTGCTGAGATCCCAGAGCCAGAAGCTGTCACTCCAAGGAGAGCTGACTCAACCACTTTGGATTTGAGTTGTCACTCCAAAAAAGAACTCAACAATTTTGGACTTATTTATAAGTTTGTACTACCACTGAAAGGTGGCCATCATTGCCATGATCACCATCATCATCAACAGAACAGCTCTGCCTGACGACCCACCACTACTGAAGATCAATGACTGAACTATGAACCATGCTGGATCCATGGTGGTGACTATTTCCCTCTTGCTTCCTATAAAGACTCCTAGCTTCTTATTTCCTATCTTTTCTATTGCCCTCCTTCCCTTCCACATCTTAATTCATAATAGTGTTCGTCCTCCTCTTCCCCATCTCCTTGATTAAGATCTGTAATAAATAGGTTGGACCAACCTTTGAATTGTTGTTTCTTAATCTCACAGATATTAAAAGAACCTCCTCTCTCTGCTATAAATTGGAGCGAGACAATTGTTAAAAAATTGCCTGATGCTATTAGAAAGTTTTCAAGGCAAAAGAAAAAGTAGCAAGAAACTATTTGAAACACAACTTATGAAGTTAACAAATTATTTTAATGTGATGATGGGCAAATGTGTAAAAATCTTGAAGGACAGTGGCACAGGGAGGTAGATATTAGATATTTTAAATTGCTCTAATATATCCAAAAGCTTGTACAGAAAAATTGAATAATATTGTAATGCTGAGTGTCAGGCAGGAGCAGAAACCACCATTATAATGTTATAATAACTCATAACACTCTTTCTTCTATTCTGTGCTTATGTTCTCCTGCTCTAATATGGCCTAAAAATTTAGCAGGGAGGTGAATCTCTGAGTGCATTGCTCCTTTGGGAGCAGATTCAAAGCATAGAACCTGGCAGAACAAAGGCAAAGAGTATCTGTGGGATGTTTCACTCCATTAACTGAAGGAGATGAGCAGACAGCAGCAGCTTCTCCGTGGTGAAGAAATCCCATCAGAGGATGGGATGAGTAGCTGAGTGTAGAATTTCTGTTACCTAGTATCAGTATCTTTCCTTCTGATATATATTGCCACACTGGTAATGTCTACTTTTGTTTTTGGTTAATGAGGAACTTGACAAACTCTTATTTCTGGCCTCTTCTCTAGCTGTTCTGGAATGTTATAAATAGGATGTAGATGTATTTATCTTTGCCTCCTATGAAGGGATGTGGGGATAAGTATTGCTCTTTGTTTCAATGCCATGATATGGAAACTCTGTTTATCTGATATTCTTTGCAAGCTCTTTTTCTGAATCACATATACAGCTTGTATTCAGGCTGCAATTTCCTTTCAGCATTTCTTATAACCTATAGGACATTTGCAGCGGATATATATCTGCTTCAGTTAGAATAGCTACAGAAAGGAACTGAAAAAGCAAGTCAGGATATTCTGTAATCTCATTTATTGCCCACAAAATAAGGGTTTTTCAGTATAATTGTTGGTAATATTTAAAGATTCTGTTAATTTCAAGTTTAAGTACAATTATAGCTTTCTTAGAGAAAGAGCAAGACTTTTGTGATTTTGACATTTAGTGAAAATTCTGACATAGTGTCCATTAGCAAGTCTGCTTCTGGATGAGAAGAGTGTTTCAGTAATTCACTTGAAGGCAGAACTAAAATAAAATGCTTATGATTTATTTTATGGAAATTTGATGTCATTTAAATTACAGTCAGCGTGCGTAGCAAAATCATAACTAATTCCTTGCACATCAAAAATATGGAAATTTATAAAGAGCACAGAGAGTTCTCAGTGTTCATACATTTTTTCCAACTGAGCTATCAAGTAGCCAGTTCTCCTGTTCTCTACTTTGTTATACTGGGCACGTCTATCAGAGTACTAATTTGATGGTGGCTCTGAAGATTGTGACTCCCAGCTCTTCATCTGATGCTAGATTTTCTGTGAGCAGTGTGGCAGCCCCAAAAGACAGTACAGACACAAAAGTCATATATTTTCTCCTGTACAGAGGATGTTTGCTCCTGGGATTGTTCTGAAGACAAAGAAAATAACGTTAGTGTCACCAAACTCAACTGCTGAAATGCATCTAAAACATCTTAACCACTGGGAAATCCACTTTGAGCTGTAGTTTTTCAGTCATCGAACAAGCTGGTTCTCTGAACAAATCAATGTGATCAAAAACACCGGTTTCTTCCTAGTAAGACCAGAAAGAAAATCAAATGATAGGGGTTTTTGTGTGTGGGTTTTTTTTTTTATTTTTAAAAAGCATTATAATTTCAGCAGATTCTGAATGTATGGCTCAGCAGTAAAGGACTGCAAGTTAGAGAGGTTACTTTCAGTGACATAATCAGAAGAATGTCAGCATTGTTTTGCAAGAATAGGGTTGTTAGCAGTCTACTCAAATTCCAGTTTGGATAATTACTTTGTCCTTAACTAAATTCACTTGCGGTTCCAAAGGGATGCAATCTTAAATTTCTATTATAAACCATTGTATTAAATCACTGTAGCCCCTGTGGTTCACCCTAGAGCTAACCTTGTAATTCATGGGTGTCTGCAAAGATTTTTGTATGGCTTGCATTCAGTTTGTGAGTCCTTTGAGATCCTTGTGAAGTGATATGTGTATTTGACAATATGACATCACTTTCATGGGGTAGATAAGTGATTTCTAGCTAACCGGGGAAAGTGATTTCTAGCTAATGCAAAATAAATGTTATAAAATTTTCCAAAACTTCAAAGGGAAGGAACAGATCTTTTAGATATATATACATATATTATTAATTTATTGTTATTTTTTTCAGATTTTTTTTCTCCCCTTCATTTATAGTTATTTCAGTAATTTGACCAGCATTTTTGTGTGGGAGGATGGAGGAGATCAATGGGAGAGAGAATGCTTGGGCAAAGCGGGAAGCTTACAGCATAATCCTCAACTGAAAGAGATGTGACATTGGTCAAGTACTCAAGAGGAGTACTGGGCCTAGTCCTCCTCCATCTCAAGGCAGGAGAACAGCTGCTAGTAAGAATTTTTTTCTCCTAGTCCTATACTGGTTGTTAATATGGAAATAAGTAAATAAATAAAAATTCCCGAATCAAAAGCTGGAGCATTTTCTTCATTAGCTTTCAGATGAAAAAGGGGGAGAAATATTCAGACATGCATTCTAGACTGCTGATGGAAAGTATCCCTTTGACTTTGTTAATTACACCACATTGAAAAGACTTTTCATTCCAAAATATCTCAAGAGGCTAATTAGGAAACAGCATTCTCAGGCAATGCAAAATAACTTTCCTTTTATTTCTATTTTAGTTATCAGCTGTCTACTTATTTTTCAGTCTAGAAAAAAAAAAAAGATATTTTTCTCTGACTCTCAGGCTTTACCAATAGTAATAAAAGTTATTACCAAAAGAAATACACAGGCTTGTATCTGCAGAGATGAATTTTTGCTGTATTATTCCCAGATGCTTATAAAATCCTCCTTTTCATCAGATTCTATGATTTGAATATATTATTTTGCAGGTGTATAATTTGAATTTCTATAATCCTTACTGTTCTTGCCATTGCTTGTTTTTTTTCTTTTTAATCTTTAATTTTTTTTTTTCTAGTGCAGTCTTTCCAGAATGTCTTCTGAGATAGTACATCTGACTCTTACAGGTGGTTTGATGCAGTTATCAACATGCTCTTGAACACTGAAATCTATTTTGTAACTACTGTTGGTAAGTACTAGTGATACTTGGCTTTTTCAGTGTAAAAGCCTGCATCATTAGAGAACTGAGGGGATTTAACAAGTTTGTGAGTTTGAAATTTTAATGCCAAGGATCCAAAATAGGATACTGAGATGATGAGAACGAGCTCCATTGTTTACTGCATAAAGATTGGTTGGAGATTTTAATTGGTGGGAAATTAATCCAGACGAAATGGTGAAGCTTATTATCATACATTCTGTCAATGTTTTATGGATTTTCTGTATTTTTCTCTTCTTGAAAGAGTGTTGTCAATGGTAGAGCTTTCTCTGGTCCTTGCTCAAGTCAATGGCAATATTGCCTCTAGCTTAAAATCTAAAATCTTCCCTTTTCATATATTTAAAGGAGCAACAGCTTTGAGGACAAGTGTTTCATAACAGGTGTATTAATTCAACCCGTATTCCCCCCCAAACCAAGCAAAGCAAAAGATCAAATTGGGTGGTACATCAAAAGTCGACTGTAAAATCAGTAATTCTTTTGAATGAATGGATTCAAGTGGTACACGTGATGTTCTAATAAAAGAATGCCACCTTATATAATATATAAGGTGGAAAAAAACAAGCTTTTCTTTTTACATTGTGCTACCTAGACAATTAAAAAAGTGACACCTAATGCTTTTAGTTTGTCAGCAAGTTTGTCTCACTGCCAGTGCTGATTTCAGAGCTACATTATGAATTTCAAAAAGGTTATTCAAACTGTGTAACAAATATAATGAGTCTCAGTTTTTAAAGCTTTTAATATGTTATATGAACTTCTCTTTCTAGGTTTGGTCCACAGATTTTACTTTTTATTTTCCATAAGCTTTTTTGCCATATAATAAGAAAATTTTGGAAACCTCTACTACTATAAACCTGTATGATTGTCTCTAAGTTTGCATAACTTATGTCAGTGATGTTATTTCTTTGGATCTGTCCATCTGTAAACTCATCTGCTATTGAACAAAAATTTCCATTACTTTCCCTGTAAAAGAAATTACTTTCCCTATTTAGTCATACATTTGTTTGTTTTCATCTCTTCTGATCATTCTGAGTGTACTCTATGGTTTTTAATCTGGCAGTGTTATAGGTGTTGAAAGCAAAGTTTTACTCCTGGCTGAACACCAGTAAGGCAGTACTGAGCCATTAAGCACAGTGCAGTATTCTGTGTCCAGTATAGTTTAATGACCTATTTAGTTCATTTTCCTTTGGGTGTGATTAGCTCAATCAATAAACTAATTACCTCTGGCAAGGCCTGATATACGTCTGTGCTTTTATTTCATCACCAACTTCAACCATATTTCTCTTCTAAATTGTGCATGTTACTACAAATTCTTTTCCATTTAACTAGTTTTCTCTGCCTATTGATTCCCCAAACAAGCTGCCTCCATTTTTTTAACATTTTTTTGATACAGTCAGCTGACCAAAATAGGAAATGACTGATGATCAAATCTATGCAGTCCTTTAAATATTGGCAATACACCACAATCAAAATATGTCATGCATCTAAAATGGTGAATAAACTTAGCGTTATGATGAAGTGGAGGTTTATTAGAAAGTGCAGTCAAATTGCAATGGAACCAAACTGCAATCATTGAACAACAATTATTTTAATATTCTGCTTCACGGTGACCTTTGCAGAAATGTCCTAGGGAGTTTGAGAAAAACAGTACATTTCACAGAAAGTTGCTTGAACTATTGTAGTTAATTGTATTTTGTTATAGCATACTCAATGTAAAAGAAACCCTGAATCATTCCAAGAAAATTCTTTTCATTTTTAGAGTACTGTCTCTAGAACTCCTGCATTTCTGTGTAATTTATTTACTTAATTCCTAATGAATCAAAGTAGTTTTCAGAAAGAAATTAAACATTCATATAAAATATATATACTAGAGTGTATTACTTGTACTATTATTGTGTAGTAAGCATGAAAAAATAAGACAAAATTCAATTACTACATACTCATTTGAAAAGTTTATTCAGGCAAAAAACACATTAAATACATTAAAAGTTGAAGAAAGGAAAATTCTGTCATAGATAACATTAGGCTTGGAGTGATACACTTACAAAAACAAACATCAAACAAACTTTCTATAACAAACACTACTTCAAATCTAATTCCTGAAGACTACAAATCTGCACTGCAATTCAGTGAAAGCCTGCATTTTATTCTCACAAGAAAATCTCAGTGAGGAAAATAAAAATCACCTACTTGTGAACTAGTGCTACTTTTTCAGAATTCTTTTAACCCTCATAGGCTTTTCTAATCATAGAGAAATGTATAATGTACAGGTAATTTCTTTTATTACTTGGCAGTTACGAAGAGCCGAATTCTAATACGAATCCCTCTTGTGCAGCTAGATAAGGTGGAGATGCTGCACATGGGAATAGGAATACTGAGAAATGACTTGCACACAGGTGTGAGAACTGGATGATCAGCTTAATCTTAAAGATGCCTGAACTGTCGACTTTAAAAATCTGGTTTGTGAGGCAAACTAGGAAATATCAGATAATTCTACCTACATCTTGGTTAGTTAGGTGCAGATTTTTATTATTGCTAGAAATTGCACCATGTAATGTCTTTTATCAATTTAGCTTTACCTATCCTATCAATAGGGCTACCTTAAAAGCAGTTTGACATTTGGGCTTCCCAGTATTTCAGAGTGGTGAACTGTAACAAGACACTTGCTTTGAATTTCCAGAACAATTTCAATTCTTCATGCCCAATTTATACTCATTTGTTCTTGTGCCACGTTGCCCTTAATATGAAATAGCATCTCTGTTTTTGCTGCTTTACTCCTTGATATGTCTGTAGAGGGCAATCATATCCAACCTTGGACATCATGTTTGGTAGGCTGAAAGCCTCATTATTCTCTCCTGTACTACTTATTTCCCTGTCTTTACTATAGCCCTTCTCTGCCTATGTGGCAGTGGTGATCAGAAGCTTTTGCAAAATCCAAAAGTCCTTAGAGCCTTAAAGAGTGGCAGAAATGCTCCTTTCACTCTGCAGATGTTGAGGAGCCCTTGACCACTTCATCAGTAGAAAACTGTCCTCTTTGAATGTGGTGTTGGGGCCTTGCACTGGGTGGTGCAACTCAGCAACAGGAATACTACTTAACAGAAATATTACAATATTTTAATTAATATTAAATGTTATTTACAGAAATACTATTTAACCACACGCAGAAAAAAGGTGACCTCTGGAAAATGTGCCTTGGGAAATGAAGGTAATGGTCTTTAGCAAGAGATCTTTGAAGTAATTTTCAACAGAGTTTAAACTAAATTTAGAGTAATCTATGCTTATATAAATATTATACAATTCCACTCTACGCAGTATGTGTGTCCAATTAAGAATATTTGGACTCCTCATTGTAAGTGAAAATTTTGTCACAGATTAAGATAAGATCGTGTATTTTTTTGGCAATCCAATATGAACTCATTTACAGCTTCTTTGAGACAGCAGATGCTCTCATCATTTCACCACTCTGTAACTCTCATCTGTCAGTGTGACCAAATCAATTCTGAAGATCACTTTGAAGATCACATGCTTATCCAGAGATTATGCATGGTGGTGTTCCAGACAAATTCAGAGAGTACAGTGCAAGAATGTCACTGTAGTTGTAGAAAAACACTCAATAAACCTATCTGAATGTGATTTTCCATATTTAATTTTTTAAAGAGTAGCACAGATTATGCATAAAATTTTCAAAATTAAGCCCTTTAAAATGTCTCTTGTCATATTTTAATGTTTAATAATACATCAATGCACTCTGTAAATGTTATGAGTTTTTTTTTTTTATTTGTAAACCAGAGAGAACAAATTAGGAAAATACCTCTATTTCAAATTACTTAACAGGGCTGTGAGACAGTTTTGCTTCTATTAAAAACAACAAAACAAAAGAAGTCAAAACCCATGAAAAATTGAAAAGAGGCCATTAAGTGTTAAGTATTTATGTTTATAAAATCAAAGGTTTATAATGTTCCATCAAGAAACACAGTCTCTCAAGGCCATGTTACTGAACAGTCAGATATGCAGCATGATATAAAGTCAAAGGTGTATCTGCTTAAATTTAAATGTAAGAAAAATTTTGATTGCAATGACATCTCACTATCTGTGAGCATTTGCTCCTGTCATTTAAGAAATACATTGTAATTCAGGAATAATGTACTGTAATTGGGATTTATATGTTGACCACATAGTGCCTTGTGCCACAGTCCATTTGATTTTGCAGTTCCTTGTAGACAGGCTTAGAATGGTTTCTGAAATTTCTAGTCAGCTGAAGGAAATGATGCTACTATATGCTTTGAAGTTACTGAAGAATAATGCAAGTAGATTTGGAAAATGCTGGGAAGTGTGGTGCATCTGTGCTTGTTTTATGTTTTTAATAGCAAAACCAATTTTGAAATACATATGCAAAATATGCACATCCAAATGAAATAAAATTCATGAGAGAAATCAGATATATTGATGAAGAACTGTTTAATGATAAAGGTATATGTTGGGAATATGAGAAATACTCTAGAAATGTTATAGGAAGTGGAAAAATAAGATTTTATATTTACATTTTATTAAAATGAATCAGCGTATAAAATTGTGTAATTGCAAAATATAGAAGAAAATACACTGTTTTCAACAGTATGTTTAGCCTTGTTCATCACAGACATACTGTTATATCAACAAATGACTATGGAATTCATGACTTTTTACTCTTCTATTCCTCATATTTATTAGGATATTACTTTTAGAAGTGAAACCATAAATGTTTTCTTTCCCTATTCATAGACACCTCTTTTTCATTCAGTAGCTACACAGCCATTTAAACAATGAAATGCCCAATACTTGCAATGCATAGATGAGTACGTGCAATCAAGTATGCACCATGCATTATAATTTACCTTACCATGCAACAAGCTGGCTTGGGATAAAGTTTGTATCAAATAGAGGTAAAGTGAAGATAAAGCATGTGGTAGGAAAATGATCGCAAATGAAATAAAAAGGGTGTAACTGAAAGGAGAAGAAAATCACATAAAATCACAAATTACTTGGATCTTTAAGTAGTAGGGTTCAGCCTGGAGAAAAGAAGGCTGAAGGGTGACTTCATTGCAGCCTTTCAGTACCTAGGGGGAGCCTACAAACAGGAGGGGAATAACTCTTTGAAAGGGTAGATAACAGCAGGACAAGGGGAAATGGTTTGAAGTTGAGGGAGGCAAGATTTAGGTTGGATGCCAGGGAGAGGTTCTTTACTATGAGAGTGGGTGAGGTGCTGGAACAGCTGCCCAGAGAGGCTGTGGATGCCCCGTCCTTGGAGGTGGCATCAAGGCCAGGTTGGATTGGTCCCTGGGCAGCCTGGTCTGGTATTAAATGGGGAGGTTGGTGACCCTGCCTGGGTTGGAGATTAATGATCCTTGAGGTCCCTTCCAACTTAGGTCATTCTGTGATTTTGTGATTCACCAAGGGAAGGTTGTGTTTGACCAATCAGGTAGTCTTTTATGACAGAGTGATTGGGTTGGTGGATAAATGCAAGGCCTTTGACATGGTCCTCCACCACATCCGTATCTCTAAATTGGAGAGAAATAGATTTGAAGGGTGAACTATTTGGTGGACAAGGAATTGGCTGGAAGGTTGCACCTAAAGGTAGTGGTCAATGGCTCTAGAACCAGGTAGAGCCTGGTAACAAGATGTGTCCCCCAGAGGTACGTCTTGGAACTGGTACTCTTTAACATTTTTATCAGTGACATAGATGATGGGATTGAGTGCAGCCTCAGTAAGTTTGCTGATGACACCAAGCTGAGCAGTACAGTGGATGAATCACAAGGAAGGGATGCCACACAGAGGGACCTTGATAAACTCAAAAGGTGGGCCCTTGTGAACCTGATGAGGTTCAGCAAAATAGAGTGAAAGGTCCTCACTCAGGTCAAGATAATCCCAGATATGTATACAAACTGGGAGAAGACCTCATTGAGAGTAGCCTTGCTGAGAAGGACTTATGGGTCCTGGTTGATGAAAAACTGAACATGAACCAGCAGTATGTGCTTGCAGACTGGAAGGGCAACAGTATCCTGGGCTCCATCAAAAGAGAGGTGGCCAGCAGGGCAAGAAAGGTGATTGTCTCTCTTTACTCTGCCCTTGTGAGGTCCCAGCAGGAGCACTGTGTCCGAGTCTGAGGCCCCCAGCACAGGAAAGATGTGGAGCTTTTGCAGAGGGTCCTGAGGTGGGCCACAAAGGTGATCCAAGGGTGGGAGCATCTCTCCTGTGAAGACAGGATGAAGGAACTGGACTTCTTTAGCCTGGGAAAGAGAAGTCTGTGGGAAGGCCTCATTATGGCCTTACAGTATTAAAAGGAAAAAACCAACTTTTTACATGGGTAAATAGTGATAGGACGAGGGGCAATGGTTTTAAACTAAAGGGAGATTTAGATTAGATGTCAAGAGGAAGATTTTTTTTACTGAGGGAGTGGTGAGGTGCTGGAAGAGGTTGCCTAGAGAGGCTGTGGATGTGCTGTCCGTGGAGGTGTTTAATGCCAGGTTGGATGGAGACCTGGGCAATCTGAACTAATACATGATTTAGCAGATGGCCACTCTGCCTATGGCAGGAGGATTAGAACTTGAGGTCCTTTCCAAACTAGCCCTTCCATTATTCTATGATTTTATGATTTATTTCTGACCAAAAATGCTTCTGTAATGTCACTGTTATTTTTTGGATAATTCTTATTTCCTTTATGTCTTAGGCAACGCTGAATTGGTTTAGACTGTTGGTCTTTCTAGTCCAGTATTTTCCTGATTAATCCAAAATAGTTTGCAATTTTTTTTTCTTGTTATGCCTCTAGGTCTTAAACTGACTTTTATGGTAAAAACGGAGATCAGAAGTTCCCAAGCATTTCCAGGATACCAGTGCATATGTTTTTATTGTGACTGGTATACATGATGGAAAGAACACTCTTTACCCATCACCTTTGTAAGTAAAATAATTCCAGTATTTATGTGTATTTTTCTATCCCTTTGATCATGTCTCTGAAGCTTCCTTAGAGACTTGAACTCCCTTTTCTAAACTGCTTGTTCTTGTAGCAATGAGCTCTGCACACATTATTTTGGGGGAGATGACATTTTAGATGGATATACGGTCAGTTCTTGACTGTAATGGCACATTGAGCAATTGATGTTTTCTCATTCCTTTCCTTTCTTGTCAAGTAGCTCAGTAGGAAGAAAGTAACTTCCTCCAGATCCAGTGTTTTAGTACCAACTAGTAATTGAAACGAGATATGATCGTGCTTCTCGATTGCTTTCTTGTTCCGTATCTGTGTTGCATTCAATTACAGTTGTCTTTAAAGGTTTCTATGGCAGCTAGAAAAAATATCTCCTCCTTTGGTATGTGATTTGCTTTGTGGATAAGTGCTGGGATGAAAGCTGCAGTAAAGGCTTGCCTTGCTCTTTTGAAAGAGTGGACCTACACTGGGGATAAGGCAAGGACAGACACCAAGGATGGCATCTCTATGTCACTGTATGAGACGTCATCTCTATCACACTGTAAAACTCTTTAGTGTCTGAAGCCAGGTGGTGTAACCATCCTTTTGTCCTGGATTAAATTTACAGCCAGATTTAGGATCAAGAAAGGAATTTTACCTTGTGTTGCACTGTTTCAGTCTTCTGTAATGTATTATATGAACTTATTTCCATTTTGCTGTAGGATATGCAGAAAGAAGCAGTATCCTTAATCACTGCAGACTTCTTCCTCTGGTATATTTTCATTTTAGAGGCTTTTGTTCTCCTATATGAAAGGGCCTATTCTATGATCAGATACTGAGTCATGTTTTGTGCAATGAGGGGTATTTTACAGCTTGTAGACTGGACACTGGGGAATCCCACATTAATAGCTCTATGTCACCTGCATATTTGATTATACCAGCTCTGTATCTCATTAACTTAGGAAGTGGACATAAATGACTACTGCTTTGTAGACTGAATTCCTAAGTGTGTCTGGAAGGTGAAAGGATGGAGAAAAGATATAGGTAAAAGAAGAGTGGGAGGGAATGTGAGCATAACTCTGTATCCTGACCTGAATTTTTGCAGGATGTGAGCTTTAACAAGGAAGGTGACTTCCAAGTCTATGTATGGATTCTACTTCAAGTACTCAGAACAGAGCCTGAAATTTGTCTCTCCCTCTGGCCCACGTTCTATGGAATATCTTTTTCAATGTCTTGTTCGCTGACTTTAGGGGTTGCTTCCCAATTGTAGTCTTTGATTTTTGTATTTTTGACACTCTTATTTTATTAATTTAATTTTGGAGGTCTAGATTTTGTCAAGAGGAACAAGAAAGTAAAATTAGATAATTCAGCGCCGTGCTATTTAAATCCATCTTAGGTGTGGATTTAAGATCTGTCTCAAATATTAAGGGTTTCCATAATAATGAATTCTTCAGGAATATTCAGAACTGGGGGGAAAAAAAAAGAAAAAAACAAAGGAAATGTATATGCAGCCCAGATTTCTCTACCTCACTCAGCAACAGAAATCAGAGCAAACTATTACAGTGTAAGCAAAGTATTTAGTTCAAAATGGACCTAGAAATTTGAAGTAAAAGCGAATTGCATATTTCAGGCTTCTGTACTTTAAGAGATTAGTTACAGGTGTTTTCATGTAATTACTTCATTCCTCTTTAATATTTTATGATGTAAGTGACCTTGAGAAATACATCTTTTTTTTAATGTAACAATAGTACGTATTTTAAAGATGCTGCAAAAATTTTATTTCCCATCTGTTTATTTCTATACTTTTGGACTGAGAAGCAAAGCTGCTGAGCATGATGAATACTCACACAAACCAGGTAATAAAGCAATTCTATTTTTTTACATTTCTCTTTTAACTTTGTTTCATTCTGAAGTGTTAAACAGGTAATGAATTCTAAAATTTAACCTTCTGTAAGTGTTAGTAATGAGACAGTGCAGTAGAGAGGCATAGCCTCTTCCCACGAGACTTTACTTTGTTTATGAATCAAGTCAGATGAAGTGTGGAATCTAAGATGTGGAATCTAAGGCATGAAATTTTTAGCTGATGCCAGCTGGCATAGTTCCATTAAAACCAAAGGAAATATACCAGCTTTCACTACTCTACCAGCTTGAGACTCATTCCCAGTGGAAATAACATAGTTAATGTCAGTGTTTCTATCATGAGCCTTTTAGAACAAAATATTGATATGACAAGGACAGAAGCTAGATTTCAAATTCTGAGATAATTTGATATATTATATTTTAGATTTGATACAATCTGTAGGTTCATTCTCTGTCATTCACTATTGCTTTGACTTAGATTCGTATTTGAGCTCAGCAGAAAATAGGTGAATAATACAAAGTTCCTAGTGACTGTACTAAATTGTGGGCTGTTGCATAGCATTAGGATGAAATCTGGCATTCCTTAAAGACTAAGGCAGAGAAGGGGAAAATTGAATCTTTTCCCCTTCATTCCTCGTATTGAATTGTACTGCTGAGTTCTTGTCAGCAATATGACTATTGACTGATGATTTAACCACTGAGTTTAGTAAAACCATTTAAGCTGATAATATGCATGTCACCTTCTGTCATTTTACTTAAAGGTAGGTGTGGAATGCCATTTCCCAAACTGAATGTGACAAGAGCAAGTCAAATGCATACATGACAGTGCATAAATAGACATGGAAAGAAAGGGGACCAGCTTTGGATTTTTCTGGAACAACTTTGAGATTTTTCTAAATTTCTGCTACAAGCTCAGGAAGGTCCCAGTCAAACAAAAACTAGAATCTTACCATAAAGTAATTGTTCTGCACATTAGTATGGAACTTTCTATGTTCAAGTTTTAGGCCATTGCTCCTTGACCTATCAGTGCACAACACCAAGAAGAGTCTGGCCTCATTCATTTGCCTCCCACCTCCCTTTATATGTTTTACAAACATTTATCAGATTCTCTCTCAGTCTTCTTTTCCCCAGGCTGAACAGATTCAGGTTACTCAGCCTTTCAAACCCATGTGTATGTCAGTAAATTACATAGGTTGCTCTGAAAGTAAAGCCTCCTATGTATTTCCATGGAAATTACAACTGATACAAGTAGCACAATAACACTACTTGATAGAGCAAATCATCAGATCTTGTTTAGCAACGTAGTTGCCACCATTAGCTATGCATTTTCATTAGCAATGAGCAAGAGCCTTCATGCTATGCTTGTAAAAATCTGCACCAGCAGAGGTGATCCGCTGTTGTTATCTCCATTGCTGAAATGCACCACCTCATGGTGCTCATAGCCACTGTTTGGTCTCCATCAACATTTAGCCAGCGTGAATGAATGCCAACGGGTGCCATTTTTTCTGTGTGGAAGAATTAAGCTCCACATCTTTACTCCATATGCACTCCCAGGTCAGACTCACTTTTGTCAGACTGCCATCTGTCACACAGCAACAAATCGTAATAGAAGACTTGTGGGAAGGTTCAACCTCTACTGCCATATCACTGACATCCACCTTTGATATCATGGTCCAATGTTAACGTGTGTCTGAAAATAAATTATCCAATATCTTTTAAAACACAAAATTAGTGTTCATCTCATAGCCTCCTTAAGATACTATTTTTTTCTCTGAGATTTACGTCCTTTGACTAGATTTCAGTTCTAAGATAGACAAAATCAACCTGTCTTCCCTACAGATTTTTCAATAAAACTTGTAATAACTGACATGAGAAATTATTATAATGGCCTTTGCAATGTTGATTACATTTGTATTGTAATTCAATTTTAACTTAACAGTCACCATATGATTTTCCATGTCAATTATAATGAGAAACGCTGATTGGCCATAAGTTAAATAATGTATAGGGACTTTATATTTTACTTGGCAATATTTGTGACAAATAAACAAAATAAGAAATGCTGTTTTAACTCTCCCTTTCAATATCAAGATAAATGTGAGGCAAAGTATAATTATTTTGTCCATTTGCAGGAACACTGTAACCCTTCACAAATCCTGCTTAACCGAGTTGCAAAAGAGAGTTTTATTTCAAAGGCAAACTTACTTCTCAGTTTGTATTCCCCTTCCCACAGACAAACAAGTTTCTCATTTTGGAGCTTTAATAATAGAACTATTGTTAAGCAAGAAATCTCAACTGCTCTCCTTGCACATGAAGAATACTGTTCTGCACATGAAGAAAACTGTTCTGTGGGCTGGGCTGATCTGCCCCTTAGGCAGGCACTTGAAATTCTTGTTGGATAAAGTTACAGACTTTCCTCTGCCCCTTTTAGCTGTAATAGTAGAAGTGTATGGAGTATAACTTGTACAAAATATGTTTCACTAACTGAAATATTTGTTAAACATAACCGCAGAACTATCATTTTCTGCCTTTCAAAATAGCTGTTCTTTTTCCTATGGTGTGTTCTTTCTGTTGAAGAAATTACTGAATGCTATCTATATTATTTCTTGATTTCTTAGGCTTACTACAGCCATAAGCTCGTATTCCAGACTGAAGGTGACCTCATGAGCTCTCAAATCCAATTTCCTACTTTAAGCAACCTCAGCTACAAGGCCAGACCAAGCTACATGTGGCTTTCCTCAGCCAGATTTTGAAAACCCTATAAAAATCCTATATAAAAGAATAATGATATATAATAATGATAAGAACTTGCGCAAATTCAGAAGTTCTTGATCTTGAAGAAAGTATAAATCTGTAGGTACCAGATTTGGGATCTTGAAGTGTGAATTTTTTTTCTTTCCTATAGTACCTGGTTATAGACCTGCTATGTTTTTTTTCATCCTGATTTTGAACTGCTGCCTCCTGAGGCAAAAAATTTAAGAAGTCTGCTTCTTGCCATATTTCTTTAAACTATTTTGACTATTGAATGGATTCAGTGAGTGCTGGTTGGTTCTGTTTTGGATTTGTTGAATAAAAATTTGTTTTCTGCACTCATTCAGTCTTGTGATTTTGCAGACCCTCAAACATAACCTCTTATTTTCCTTTCCATATGGAAGAATCCTAGTCTTTTTCACCTCTCCCTGTAAAGCAATTATCTCTTCTCTGTACCTTTCTAACTCCTATTACATTTTTCCAGAAATGCAGCGACCAGGACTGTCCACAGTACTCAAGATATGTGTGGAGGAGCCTACTTAGCATCCCTTGATGCCTGAAGTCTGAAAAGGATAATTGTGGAAAATGCAGCTTTATTATGAAGGTACGAGAATTGAAAGGAGCAGTAACATTTTGCTACAAGAGAAAAGGAAATTAACTGTTGACCTTTAATGGTGATTGGTAGAAAATAACAGCAGATGGATATGGTTTGTTGGGCACTAATGGCTACATAAAATCACTGTGAGATGAAAAAGGAACTACCTTGATGAGTAGCTCACAAGATGCTTAGACTGGATTTCACTCTGATAAGCATAGTCAGTGGTAAATGTTTGGCTGAGGATATTTTAAGGCTCTGGAGGACACCTGATGGCAGATCTGACTGCTGATGGGAGGGAAGAGAAAAGCCTATAGAACCTAGGCAAAGAAGCTGTGTGTGTGGAGCCTGCTTTGCACTGTTAATTGTTCCATGCTCCAGCATTGAGAGTGTGAACCTTCTCCCAGATCCGCAGAGGATAGTACATGGGACTTGACTTTCCTTGCATTGCTGCATTATTTGGCTGGTGGCTTGGAAGATGGTGACTGCTGTAGAGACAGACCAGCTGGTGCATGATAACGAGCCAGCACACCTTATGCTTTTATGACTCGGTATGCCTCCACTGTGTCTTACTACTGCTAAATACTGCTTGTGTGTAACTGAAGCTTTAGTTGTAACATTAGCAACACCATCCCTAGAATATCATTTGATATAATCAGGATACATAGCATAATATTCCTTCGGTTGGTTTTCATCCCGTTCAATTGCCAGTCCCAGGATAAACTCATTTATCAGCTCCTATGCACTTGCTGCCCTGCCCAAATGTGCAGGAATTTGCTAAGCATCTCTGCCATGGCCACATGAAATCCTTTACACCTGTGTCATTGTGTAGTACCACAAATTCTCTTGATGATTTATTTCCATATATACATTTTTAAATATTCCTATTAGCTTGAGCATTCTTCTTAAGAAGTTTTTCGTATTCTGTTTTTCATCCTCTTAGTGTCTGCCTTATGTTTCATCTGTCATGTTTTGTGAACTTTCCTGATTTCTGTATTTGTACAAGCTTTACATTCTTTAAATGCTGGTCTCTCTCTTTTCCCTTTCTTGAAGAAAAAATACTCATTAGAAAATTTCAAAGCTGATACAGCTCCAAGAAACATTTTGCTCTGCTAAAAATAATTATGTTAGAAGCCATACAAGAAATTTGAAAAGGATTTCTGATGTCTGTGAGTCTGCAGCCTGTACCTATTCTGAGAAAACATCACCTACAGCTCTTCTAGAGTGATTCTGGTGATTAAAGAGCAGGGTCATCCAAGTTCTGCTAAGACTTTCTTCAGGTTAGGCAAGCCATGGTTCAGTGTATAATAGTGTCAATTTACGAAGTATCTAGTTACACTCTTGTAAGTGTTCCTTTTACGGTAGTCTTCAGAGATTCAACATCTCATTTTTATTTCAATCCTGTTGGACAAGAAGCAACTCATGCATAATAACTACCAGTTTCATAAAACTAATGAATTCATACTGCTTGTAAATAATAATTGCGTATCAAATTGAAAAAATGCAGTAGGAGGTTAACAACTTGTAAAAGCACTGACCATATTCCTGAAAGAGATATAATTTGGTTTTATCAGCAACATTTTCAAATGACTTTTTAATTCTACTCCTTTCAGACGAGATAGCAAAATAAAGGCTAAAAACAAAGTTGTTCACAACTACTTTTCAGTTAAAAAAATAATAATTTTTTTTAAGCTATGGGTATTTTAGGATTTCTGGGATTAGAAGCGTAAGAATAAAATATCTATTAATTACTCCACTTACATGATCTCTGCCAATGAGAGTAAATAGATTTCTCTTGAACATATCCTTCATTCAGCTGCTTTATTTTGTTGCTTTTGATGATATTTAGAGTGAAGTAGATGAGAAGGAAACAAAGAGAAATGGAAATCAATAGAGTGAAGTAAGACTTGCATATAAAGGTTAATACTATTTTGAGATATAGGTTTCAACTTGGCTTGATTTCAAAGTAATGATCTGTATGATCTACTGAAATAAATAATCTAAAGTCACATTCGTGCACACATGAAGTCCCTAATTATGATTATCATAATTTATCTGGTTTATCTGATTGATTTGGACATTGGTCAGTTCCCATGAAAAAGGAAAAAAAAACCTCATTTGCGGCTACTTCTATGTTCATTTTGTGCCTGTAGCAATTTAGTGTTTTCTGGAGCAATCCTCAAACTCTTGTATGTAATTATCCAAACACTTGGCTAACTTTATCATCTGAAAAAGTGATACAGGATAGTACAAATAGTCTCTCTCTTCTGAGGATATGAGGCAACTATAAATTGAAAGTTGGACTATGAAATTGCATTTTTCTTTTAAAGTAACCAGAAATGTGAGATGTTAAAATTCATATAATCATTATATTTAACTTTAAATACAATAAATAATTATAAATAAATAATTTTTTAGAAAAATGCTGCCATTGATAAGTGATCCAGAATAACAAGTTATAATTTTAACTTTTCTGAAGTTTAAATTTGATGAAAAAATTAAGAGAAAAAATTTCACTTGAATTTCATCTTGAAATCTGATTGTTCTGCATACATATTAATGTGAAAATCTAACATCTTCAATTTTGTTTTTCTTTTTTGTCATGAAAAACCTACTCTAGACATTATTTTATAGGAAGATTTGGGTACTTTTCCACTCAGAAAAAACATGATCTTGCGCCTACAGATAAGCAGCTTCCCACATAAATAATTTCATCTCATAAAATGAGAGACAAAGTTGAAAACCCTGTATTCTTATCCTATAGTCTAGTAGAAATGCTATTGTATCCTAGTAAATAGTTAAATAAAAGTAAATGACTTCATCTAAGGACTTCCGAAATTAAGAGCTTTCATCAGATTCCTCCCCTGCCACTTCATGATGACTTGGAAACATAAAATGCTTTTTCCACACAGTAAAACCAGTGGGTCAGTGTCATCTGCTTGCTGGGAAAAGTCCTTAGAAGAAGGCCAGAATGATCTTTGTAGATTGTTATTATTTTTTAATAATATTTATTTTTCTGAAAAGGAAAATGACAAAGTTTGAAAGTAATTAGATGTTAATGATCAGACATAGAGTGTTTTCTTCTTTAAAGGATATTACTATCACCATTTCATTATTAGGGAAAAATGTGGTGATTTACTGAAGGTTATTCTGAAAGTTAGTGATAGTCTTACAAAGGGAATCCAAGCTGTGCAGCCTGCATGAATCACAATGAGTAAGGGAAAAGCAACAGGAATTTGGAGTATCTCATCATTTCTGTTTTTCTTTCAGCCTTACGTGTGTTATTAGAAATACTACATACAAATCTGATGCCCTTCCCAGTGGAGTTTAAACTCTTAGAATAGGATAATGCAACTGAAAGCAGTCAGCCCCTTTGGTATTTTTTGTCAGTTCCTCAGGTATCTTTTTAGAAAGATTGAGGCATAAACTGGCACATGATGCTCTCCTTCCTAGGAGGACTTCACCTAGGAGAGCGTCATGATGAAAACATGATACGTTTTTCCTTTAGACAGTAAGTGACAGGACAATGCTGCCTTATTTCTAGGAATGTCTGAGTTTGAATTTTTGTTTGACGACCAAATCAATACAATCCTTTTTGTTAGACTAAGTTAACATACTCCTTGAGAAAGTGCTATTGCGTTTTGAGATGAGTCCTCAGAAATGCGCAATCAAGGAAACACAGCTACTGTGGAAATCAGCAATGAATGCAGAGAACAGATACTTTTGAAGTTCCAGAGGCATTTTAAACAAGCTAACATCAGAAAAAGGAATTCCTTGGAAATCTCAGAGTGGACAAGAACCCATCTTAGAAGTCATGTCTATGTAAATCCTGCCTACAGGCAACTGGATTTCTAAGGCAAGAGAGGACAAGATTTTCCAGTAGGATGAAATGATTATTCTAATAGGTCCTTGGACAGGGAAATTAACACCATGAATAAATTTGAGAGAAGCATCTAGAATGAGAAGATAAAGGGGAATAAAATGGATTATGTATGCTAATTAACTTGCTTTCCTACCTTAACATTTTTATCCGCTATCTCTGCATTTGCAATTTCTGAAACCACTGAATATTTACCTGGATGGGCTAATCCTGAAAGTATAGACAAGATTCACCAGAGGAGAGGCTGTCTTTTGTGTCCACTTACATAAAAGCATTTTCTTCCTGCCACTGTTCCCCCTCTCCCCACCAATATCTTCTGCTCTGGAAGCTTTGTGTGCATTTCAGGGCTGCTCACTTTGTTTTGCCTACTTCACATGGTCAGGATATGACTGCTGCATACATGCAAATCCTTTCCATGTTTTCTGCAAAGAATATAGTCAGGTAATGGGTACTCAGTTTTACTAGCACTGGTTTGCAGGATTGCTGTCAGCTGGGTCAGAAGCAATTGGGCCAGTCTTTGTGTTACAGTGGACTATAGCAGAGGAGCCAAAGAGAGCTTCTAATTAATAACTGTAGAAAAGCTTGATCTTTGGCCAGTGTCAAGACCATACCTCAAATATAAACCTGCAATACTAAGGTGATTTTGAGAGGTCGTTTCTGTAGTAAAATAAAGCAACCTTTTGTCACTGATTCTTTGAAATAGACTTGGGAAAAGCATAGATAGAGGTGGAAGGGTTCTGGCTGACAGAGCTATGCAGAGGATTTGTATATTTTGGGTCCATGAATATCAATATTAGTAAGACAGCTCTATCCAAATCTCACAGTGTTGAGCATGATCTTGATCTATGGTGTATTAATACAACAGCTCTAAGGCAGGAGAACAGTGGTATTGTAGAGAGGTGAATTAAAGCAGTGTAAGGGAAGCTATGTAGCTTGTTATATTCTGATCCAAAATTAAGAATACTCTGCATGACTTTTGTATCTAGCTAATTGGTGATAATCAACAAGCCATGAACAACAGCAGTGTCTGCTTACAGTGCATGAGTGCATGTGCTCATCTGCAATTCCTGTAACTGGGGCTGCTAGCCTTCTGATGCCTTGCAGCTAAGAATTTATGATACCATATGAAATCTAATGAAGTTCCTTCATGGCAGAGAGGTGATTGCTCTTACAAAAAATGTAGGTGCTAATGTAACACCAGAGTTTGCTTGAAATGTATCAGGCTAGTGTTATGGTATGTGTCTGTATCATACAGATACATAAAGACAGGGCATGCACCAGGTTGTGCAATTTCTGGAAATATTTCATTAAAATGTGATTGTCTTTCATAGTATTCTGTATCCATTGGCAGACTGATGTGCAATCAGGTGGGAATATTACTGGGTCCTGTGGCAATAGTAAAAAGAAGGAACAGCTAAGGGACTCATCGGTAATGACTATGATGAGCTGAAATAGAAGCTCAGGCTTTGGGGATTAAAGATACCAAAACTATTGAGTTATTACTGAACTATGTCTTGAAAAACTGAGAGATCATCTTTCATTTATGTTAAAACACTGTTTACATTATACTTTAAGATGTTGTGCAGTGTGACTGTAAAATAGGAAATAACTCATAACACATTAATTCTAAAATATACATTTCTGTTACTTGGGTAAAGAAAAAAAATCTGGTTACTCAGGAAGTGGAAAGTGGGGTGAAAATATAACTTACACAATGAGAGATAATGACTGAAGTTATTCAATGGACTGATTTTTATGACTCAACCTTTATAAACCTTTTAAAGCAGAGGTTTATAGTACAAGTTCTGATGCTATCTTAAACACCATAAGAAGTCCTTTACTGGTACCAAACTTCTGGGATTTCTTTCTTTATTAAATAGCTACGCCTTTGGAAAAGAAACAGTACAGGTTATTAGAAGTAGTGCAGCTGAGGAAAGGTAGCTTTTTTTTCTGTACTATTATAGGCATCAATTCTAAAAATTACTAAGTTTATAGCAACATACTGTAAATAACTATAATAAAAATGTTGATTTAGTTAAAACTTCAGTTAAAACTTTTGAAGTGAGTTATGCTTAAAAAAAAAAACAAAACTTTAATTCTGCTAATTATTGATTTTTGCCTTCTTACGTTGTAATGCTATAAGGTGATGGAAAGTACCACAGTAATAGCGGGGGCAGCAAAGTGTTTGGCTGCAGCAAATGAGGACACAGAAATGAAGGAAAGGAGCTGCTTACCTTTGGAAGGCCTCAGGTAAGCAAGGATCTCCAGCAAGAGATGCTCTTACTTCTACTGCCAATCCTTAATGGAGGTCTGGAAGAGGTGGTGCCTGGCTCCATCCCTTCCAGTCACTGCTTGCACCTGAGCTCCCATGGGTCAGCCTTGCTTTCCAACCAGTGTTCAGTCACTGGCTCAGACCGTGACTTAGCATTTCCTTTACATATGTTAACAGAAGTTTACAATATATAAACAGTATAAACAGGAGGAGATATGTCTGTTTACAAGGTGGATAGCATTAGGAACAGGAGGATTGGTTTTAAACTAAGAGAGGGGAAGTTTAGGTTGGATATCAGGAGAAGTTTTTCACCCAGAGGGTGGTGAGGCACTGGAACAGGTTGCCCAAGAAGGCTGTGAATGCCCCATCCCTGCAGGCATTCAAGGCCAGGCTGGATGTGGCTCTGGGCAGCCTGGTCTGCTGGTTGGTGACCCTGCACATAGCAGGGGTTGGATCTGGATGAGCATTGTGGTCCTTTTCAACCTAGTCCATTCTATGATTCTTTGAATATTCTCTTTGCTAGTTCTCTCTATGGGGAACAGGGTAAAGAATTGGAAAAGTATAAAGAACTCGTGTGTTGAGATAAAGACAGCACAGCAAATAAAGCAAAAGCTGTGTGTGCAAGCAGACCAAAGCCAGGAATTCAGTTGCACTTTTCCATTGGAAGGCAGATGTCTAGCCTCACCCAGGAGAACAGGATTCATCATGCAGTGTTTTTCTGGAATGACAAATGCTGACATCCTAAATGTTCCCCCTCCTCCTCCTTTACCCCAGCTTTTATTGCTGAATACAATGCCATATGGTATGGGACATCTCTATGGCCTGTCTGGGTCAGCTTTCCTGTCTGTGTTCCCTCCCAACTCCTCGCAGACTTCATCCCCTCATTGGAAGAGCAGCACAAGCAGCAGAAACATTCTTGGGTCTGTACAGAACTGCTCAGCAACAACTATAACATCAGAGTGCTGTCACCACAATTTTGATCAAAAATCCAAAACGTCATGGCATGAACCTCTACAAAGAAAATTAACTTTATCCCTGCCAAAACCATGATGTGGTTAACTAGGTGAAGACCAGGCATTAAAATTTTGGTTTTATCTCCTGGAATGTCAGTTTATATTGCAGAATATATTGAGGATTTCCGCAAGCATAGATGACTTGGTACAAATTGAAATAAGGAACTGAAAATTTCTACTGCTTTTAAGGACTGATCCAAGATGAGGGGCACTCTAGAAAGAAGTATTCATAAATTGAAGAACACATTCAACTAGTTTGTAACAAAAAATAATGTAGTGGACTCACTCAGCTGTTGAAAATGTATTCCATTATGTATTGATCACCATATATTTGGCTCCTGTTTTTTTAATACTATTTTTATACCTTTTCACAAAGAAGACTAGTCCATTGTTTCATAACACTGTGTAGAGAAGATTTATATGTGGTTATAAAGTTGGCTGTGGAAATCATATCACTTGAAATGTTTTTTCAGAGGAAAATCACATCAGGCTGGCAAACCTGTCTGCACTGGCTGATGAAGAATGAGGGCTTTATTTTGGGCTCTCTATTAAACTAAAATTTATATTATTATTGCTGCTTAGATGATAATTCTGGGTCACCACTGAACTATTCCTTCTAGCAGAACTCCCAAGAGTACTTTATTTCTTGTAGTACTAAACAAGCAGGAGCCAAGTGAATTTTAAATCTGTAGGGTGTCAAAAATGAGAAGCTAGATGAAGTTTTGGATGCAGATGCAAGGGAAAATAGTCATACATTTTAAAAATTTGAGAGCATTACATTCTCATATACACATGATTTGTCCTAGAGCAGTAGCTAGACATATAAAAGGATCTTTACAAGTTAGACTTGAGACATGATAAAATGTAGGAGATATTATTCAAGTTAGGTTTAAGATTTTGATTGTTGACAGAGCACAGGAGTTGAGGACCAGTCTTTTTTTGGGTTTTTTTATTTGAGATTTTTACAAGGATAAGACCCACGTTCTGAGAAATAGGCTTTCTTGTCAGTTTTCATTCTCTTTCCATTCTACTCTACAAATGTTTTCACTCTTCATGGAAAATTTAGTTTGATCACATTAGTGTTCTACTGTTCTCTAATCATAAGTAGAGTTGGCTGCTTTACAGTTTGGTGAAATTCAAACAATGATATTCCGTAAATTGTGCGTGTTAGTGGAAAGCCAAAAGCAAAGCAGCTCAGGGCAATGAAAAGCATAACAAACTGGAAATTTATACCACTTCTAGCTAGCAAAGCAAAATTTGCTCTCAGATTTGTTTCACAGGAAAAAAAAAAAGAATAAAATAGCACATTTGGCTGATGGTAAAATGATTTTTACCATTTTCGGAAGACAAAGACCCTTCACTTTGTTACTGAAAACTGGCAGATCAACTGAAGACTAATTCCATTTTGAAATAAATATTTTGCATCACAGTGAAACCATGCTGCTAATATTAGCCAAGCTGGCAAATAAACAGAAACTCCTTGTTTCATTGTTTTTACTTTTGTATTCCATCAATGGATTGTAAAGTACTGGAAATGAGCCAAAATCAAGGACTAATTTCCATTTAGTGGTATAATGAAGTAACAAATATGCTTTGATTCAGATTAAAAGCTTTTTCCCCTCCAAACTAAAAGCACTTCTATATCTGTCTGTAGCTTCAATGTTTTCACAAAAATAGCTGGTAGCTGCAATACTGTGTTAAAACAAAACAAATAAACAAATGCCAAAAAGATAAATTTAGCACTCACTGCTTCCTGAAGCAGCCAATCTTTAGGGCTCAGAATCTTCAGAATGCATAGCTAAGCAAAACGAAATCCTCCATTCAGATCAGACACAAATCTTGGCCTTGATTTGTTCCACAACCAAATTTAAACCAATATAAATAAGGGCAGTTTCTGCAATCTCTATCCTCATCTCTACTGTTCCCTTTACTACTCATGCACAACTATTTGCAGTGTTTGCTGCACGGTATTACATAGTACCTATCCAGTAGTCAAATTAACACTGTGTTCAATGTGGAAAGTGCAAAGTACATAGAAGAAGCTTTTCTCCTTAAGTCTTAAAAGCAGTGGGCTAAATCCTGCACCCGGTGACCTCGCGTGAGCAGTGTTCATACAGTGTCCCCAAGAATAACTCAGTTATGTCTTTGATCAGGACCAAAGAGTGAATTAATTGGAAGAATGAAATAAGTCTTGCTAAGACTCGAGGATCAGTTAATATTTATGTAATACTATATCTGAGGCTATTATAAGTTGCAGATTTTAACACCTAAGTTTCAAATTTTAATCCTTGAAAGCGTTTAAAATCTTCACAAATTAAAGCATCTGATCCTGGAGCTTTCAAATTCATAATGGCTTCTTTAATCTAATCTTTTTCAACAGCTAATTCTAAAGCAGTAATTAAATTCTTAGATCAACTTCAGTCCTCAGCTAAATGCCAGAACTGCTTACAAACAACTCATCCTTATAGTGCTATATGAAAGATTCACATTGAGTAATACGACAGTGTTCTGAGAACTGTTTTTGTTTGATCATTGTTTATATCTATCTTTATATTTATCTTTATATATCAATTTTTATATATATATATATATGTATAGATGTAATGTGTATTCATCAGTTATGTTTGTATCACTATACAACTTCATTGGGCTTCTGGAAAAGCTAGATACTTTCTCTTAGCCATACTTAAGCCTCCAGAGTTCACTGAAGACATGGATTAATGATTTATCTATGAGCTCTAAACTACCTTAAAGGGTAATTTTCTTCTTTCCCAGTAGTAAACTTTGAATGATTTTACTTTTGCAGAATGGAAAATAATATTGAGAATCTGTGAAAGTTTCCTGAAACATAAGATTTTTTGCTCTTAATTCTAACTAAACCGGAAGAAACTGAAGGATTTCTAAACACTGTTGAAGATGGGATAGGGGAATCAACTTTTTGAAAGGGTAGGTAACTGCAGGACAAGGGGAAATGGTTTTAAGTTGAGGGAGGAAAGATTTAGGTTGAATGTCAGAGGGAAATTCTTTACAGAGAGAGTGGTGAGGTGCTGGAACAGCTGCCCAGAGAGGCTGTGGATGCCCCATCCGTCTCTGGAGGTGTTCAAGGCCAGGTTGGATGGGGCCCTGGGCAGCCTGGGCTGGTATTAAATGCGGTGGTTGGTGGCCCTGCCCTGTGGCAGGGGGTTGGAGATTCATCTTCCTTGAGGTCCCTTCCAACCCTGGCCATTCTGTGATTCTGTGATATGCTGGAGGTGATCCAATGTAGAAATCCAGAAGAACTCAACTGTTATGCAAGAAAAAAAGCGAATAAAGCAGAGATAAGCACTGACAATTTTTAAAAAATGTGGCCAAGTTGTATTTTCTGCCTTAAGATCTTTGAGATAAAGCTGGCACTCACTAGACAGAACAGAAAGCTCATCTGGATGGTAGACAGTTCAAGTACTGAACTGTGGTGTAGAACAGACTAATTTCACTTACATTTACCTGTGAACGACAGAAACTGTAAGAGATAAAGTATACCTATCCAGCAGCCTGTTACCTGCTCAAAATTATGTTGATGTCAAAGCATTTTTACTAATGGACTTGCAGGAAAATTGCACCTACTGTACTCAGGTTTTATTTTATTTTGCTAACATAGTCTGTTTAGTCATACTTAGCTTCCTCGGAAGCTGTCTGAACAAATCACCGCTGAAGGGAGTAGGAGTATATGGAGGAGTTCTTGTTATCATCTGTGTTTGTTGATGATGGGAATGACAGGCAGTTGTGTATACTGGATTAGTTCATGTTGATTTGACAGGTAGCAGTGGCACGGAGTGTGGCTACACGCCATTTTCCCAAGTTTCATTGAGTCATGTTCTTACTTTTTTTCTGTCACTTCTGATGAAATACAAACAAACTGTACATTAGCTACCTGTGCACCGCCAGTGTATTTGTAATATAAATTCCCTGTAGTACAAGACCTCCTTCTACCAGAGATTGCCAGGGCTTTATTTGTGTGCATACATGTATCTGAAGAGGAAGAGGATGCACTTATTATCAGGTACTTTTCTTTTAAAAAGTACAAACCTGGCAAGTAATTTATCATGCTTCTTGACAGCTATGCCTCTGCAGACCGCAGGGTGCACCCAAGCTGAGGTCTTTTCATGTCCTGCTCTGCTCCTCAGATTCTCATCTATTTCTTGAAAGTGCTGTGGGTTTCTGCTCTTAAATGCTAAAGAAAATAAAAATAAAAAAATAAAAATCAAGCAGAAATTAACATTATGTTTTCTCCGTCGCTCTGTATTAGCTTCCTCAGGAGAGCTTGGTCATGGGATCCTGAGATGCACTGACAAATAATGAATGATGATAAATTTATTATTCAAGGTATATCCATTTGGGCTCAGAAGCTGCAGATGATGCCCTTTATCGATCACCACCTTGTTTTGCAATAATAGAGCACTGAAACATGATAAAATTGTGAAATGAGTTCTGTGAATTATACAGCCCAGATTTCCTCATAACCTTCATACTTAAAGGGGTTATCACTTGTATCTGGAGTGCACTGCACTCTGCTTTGAATATTGACGTAACTTTCTGAGGTGATGGGCAATATGGCTGAGTGGAAAATAGAGATATTTATTCTTAAGAAGAATTGTTTCAGATTGTTTCTCTTTCTCTTTTTAATAAAAAAGTCACAACGTCTTCCAAGGTGATTCCTCATATAGTAACAACTACGGATGTGGAATTTTTCAGCTTACAGGAAATACCTCAGGTGAATTGCAATGCCCTGTGCCCTACACTGCAGGGCCACTGGGCTGTCTGAGAGCATCACGAACCAATTAGCCCAGGAGGTGGACATCTAGAGCAAGATGGCACCAAGGGCTCACTTTGGATATTTCTCACTAAGACACTGTTCAGCTGACTTGCTTGGAAATAACTGCTAAAGGCTACTCAGTCATGAGCTCTGCAATCCAGTTAATTAATACTTGTCAGAAGAACTTTACCCTGGATGCTTAATGTCAGGTTATTCTGACCTTTACAATAACACTTGCAGCTTAGATAACTACTTAATAGCACCCTGTCTCCTGACTGCTGACTTTCAGGAATAGGCACAGCGAGCTTCTGATACGCTTTTTTTTGTTCAAGATAGTCACCCTCTGTCCTGCTTTTACTTAAAGTATTTCATGTAGCCACAGTGCAGACATATATGGCTGTTTTCATGTTGCCCCTGTCCTTTTGCAAATAGTCAATTGCATTTTGCAAGCTCTACTGTGTACTTAAAATTTCACTGTCTTCCTTTAAACAAGTTTTCTGGCTGAAGTGATTTTTCTTGCTCATCGCAATATTTTCCCACTGTAGCACATTATATTTCTAATTCAAACTAGTCCACTAAACATGCATTTAATAAGATCTACGTTTTCTACTTTGCTCTTAGCTTTTAATACAAGCCATTCTGAGGATGTAGACATGTGGTTTGGGTTTCAGAGATGACTGTCCACAGAGCTCCCCTCTACCTTTTCTCAGACCGTGATGTTGCACAGTCAGGTAGCGGATAAGCAGAAGAAGCAGCAGCAAAGAGCTCCTTCAGCAACTCACATGTAAAAAAGCTGCCATAAAAATGGGGCTATCAAGCTTACCAGGTTAGTATCTACAACTACTTGGTCATTCTGCTCTGAGATTCACCATTGGTATCTGCACAGGCTTCTATGCAGACTTTCTCTCCGGGCTTCCTTGCCTTCTGTTTGTGGTCAGGTTCCATTTTGGGATTAACTAGCCGAAATGGAAATGCCTGGGGGGTTTCTGAAAATCTCCAGGCCACTTTTGCAGCACCATTCTGCCACTTCTGCTAGGAGTAGTGGGAGTGGGAAACAGCAGGAGCTCTGTCTTTCCAAACATTCTACAAAACAAGTTGAGCATGAGGCACTTGGTTTCTAGCACAGGGAAGCTGGCAGCTGGCAAGAGGTCTGACGATACTGCCTTAACATTTTGAAATCCCCCCAAACTGGTTACCACGATTTCAGCTCTGTTGAATCAGTTTTACCAGGGGAAACCTCTTCTGTCTGAAGATTTTCCACCTGACCTCATGATCAGAGCAGCAAAAACAGCACAAGTTGCAGTGACCTTTGAAAAAGTCATTGACTAAATGCTCATTTTCCACCTTAGCATATAGAAGATTGAGAGCATGTTTCAAGAGCAGAATGATACCCAAGTGCTTAATTGTCTTTCAATTTTATTTTTCCCTCAAAATGTCCTGAACTGAATGTCTGGTTCTGATGCTGCACACCTGGAATTGTTGTTTGGAAAATTCTCCCACACGCAGCTTGTACAAAGTTGCACTGAATTTTAAAGATTTAGAAGTTCTCTCTTTTTGCTTACAGCACCTTGAAATGCATGAATTACAATAGCTTAGAGAAATCATTTTATCCTTATTTAGATGTATGCATTACACTAAAATCACCCTCTTCAAATACTTTCTGATTTTCCCAGAGGCACATCTGACACTGTGCATCAAAAAATGAGGACTTTATGCAGTGGTATTATAGCTATCTGCCTGCACAACTAACCAAACAATATTTTTTTCCAAATATAGAGATATTTATAAGGATCAGTGCTGTAAAAGCCTGCTTTATTAATAAACAGGTAGAGTTTTAGCTAGAAAGAAGTTATAAGTGTTGACATTTTACAATTTCAGAAGAGATGGTAATTGCTTCTGAAAAAAAAAAAAAAAGAGATAGCAGAAAATAAGAACATTGTTATCTGAAAGAAAAAATGAGCATTGTGTTTCACTTTTGCTATAATTTGGAGGCACACATATATGAGGAAAAATTATGAGAAACATACAGCAGAGACATTTTTGCCAGTTGTAGTTTATCTCTGCCACCCTCACCATAAAGTTCTTGCGCCTTGTCTTCTCCAAGCTAAACAATCCCAGTTCCCTCAACCTTTCCTCAAAGCACCATCTCAGTGCCCTCCTCTGGACCCGCTCCAAGTCCTTCCTGTGCTGGCGCCCCAGGCCTGGATGCAGTGCTGCAGATGGGGCCTCACAAGAGCCAAGTACAGGGGGACAGTGATCCCCCTCTCCGTGCTGGCCACCCCTTCTTAATGCAGCTCAGCATATAGTTAACCTTCCAGGCTGCAAACATAAAATGATATGTGTGCTTATGTGCATGTTTCATGTGTGTATGTATGCTGCTACAATTCTATTTCTAAAATGGTAAAAAATAAACGTAGAGTTTATAAATAAACTGCAAAATTATTCCATCTTCTTTATTAGAAATAATCAGCAACATATGTCAATGTAATGTGTGGCAGAAATTACACAAGGGGCGAGTGTAATAGGCTAGTCATAAATGAAGTGCCCATTTGGTTGTTTGCTTTTTAGGGAATGGCAGACTGCACAGATACTTTCTGTCAATTCTGTTTTCACGTTTTTTCCTGAAAGTTTTTCTGTAACACTGAGTACCTACCCTATTTAGTGTTTTATTTAGGACATCTGTATGGGAACTGCTGAGTCACGGCCTGAACCTCTGATCACCTGAGGCGAACCACGAGTCAGCCAGAGGAGCACAGGTGAAGGCAATTCCTAGATCTATTTAAGAACTGGCCACCAATGTGGAGGGATCTCTTCTGGAGACCTGCTCTGCTGGAGTTTTGTGAGTGAGCCTAGGATAGGGGTAAGCCTTCTATTTGTTCTCTTTTGTTATCATAGTCTGCTTTGCCTAACTCTCTTGTTTATTTTGTGATCATAACATCCTAATATTCTTTGATTATACAGACATCATAGACATCGACATTGCAAATGCTTCTACTTAGTGTATATAACAAATATTGTTTACAAGAAAGATTTTTCTTGTGATGTCTTGTAAGTAGCTCAGCAGGTAAATGAATGATATGCTGCCACTGTTTACTGTCTTACACTCTATATAAGCTGGCAAATATTTCTATGTTGCTTCATGTTTTTCAACAACTCGTTTGTCTCTAGCACTCACACTTCTTTTGTTTGAAACGAAAATTCATCGGTATTTTTAGGGTGTTGGTGTTGGCATGTAAAAATATTATTCTGGTGGCAATTTAGAAAATATAAATTTAAGTGTTGTCCTCTACAAAAACTCATATAGTTCTCTTCCAATCAATCTTTTTCCTCTGTGTATGCATGTATATGTATCATGTGCTTTTTTTTTTTTTCCTTTAGGTGACCAGGTGGTTTGAGAAACTCCACAGTTTGGAAAGGCAAAAGACTCCAAAGGCAAGTACCCTCAAGTATTCCTTGTCCTTTCTAGGTTGAGCAGTTTTAAGTACTCTGATAATACTTTTGTTGTGAAGACATGACAGTGAATGTATTTTAACTAGCTGTTCAGATGAACAGATGGGTAAACACTACTGAACGCAACCAAGACTTCTGAAACTGTATGCTATTTTATCTTTGTACATATCATACTGTTGAAACATTCATGAAACATTCATACACTCAGACTGCCTCATGTGTATCTCAACAGCTTTCTCAGGTGTATGTAACAACCCTTTGATTTTTGGCATGGATGTTTGTATAACCCCATGTAAGAGATTACTCTGTTAACTTCTGTGTCTCAAAGCTAGCTGGGGACACAGACGGACTTGTTCAAGTCCAGACAAGTCCCGAGCAAGGATTGTGAAATCCTTTGTCTGGTGGAATGCAGATGGACAAGGCCAGGGGCAACGAGAGCGAGATGAGCTGCAGCTAAATAGCTGTGAAGTGCTCCTTTGTGTGGACCTATCTCCGGATGATGGCCATCTTAGAGGGTACTCAATGACTCTTGCACGAAGCCCATCCTTGTCAGGTAGGCAGGAGAACAAGGAGGATAAAAGAGGAACTGAAAACCACGAGGATAGGTTTCTGACAACAGATTCCTCATGAAGAACGGAGGTTTCTGATAACAGATTCCTCGCCAAGAACAAGGTTTCTGACAAGAGAGAGAGGAATTCCTGAAGATAGAGGGATTCCTGAAGATTGAGGTGATTCCTGCATACTGTTGAACTCTCCTGAGCCTGCTGCCTGACCGCTGTTGCTGCTTCAATAATTGGCTCCTCGACTTCCTCGTCTACCTGCCTGCTGCCCAAGGTCGCCACGCTGCTGCTCCCCGTCTTCTGCTGCGTTCTGCCCGGGACCTTCAAACACCGTGCAACGGGACGCTGCTGGATCCTGCTGGTGACTCTCCCCGCTTTAAGCAACTCCTGCTTCTTTTCCATCTTTTCTATCGCACTCCTTCCCTTCCCCGTCTCCCTGATTAGGTCTTAGTAATAAATGGGATGGAACAACATATGAACCGTTGTTTCTTAATCTCACACCGGGTATACAGATATTAAAGAACCTCATCTCCCTCCTATAAATTGGAGCGAGACACCCCAACACTTCAAATTGGAAAACAGCAGATTCAGAAATGCATCCTGAGGTGAGTCAGGGATAACTGTATTGAATAGGTACCATAGTTTTTCTTTTATTTCAAAGGACATCACAGTCTTGTTTTCCAAAGATAGCTAGTTTAAAGGAAAAACAAAATTGAAAATCATGTGAGCTGGCTGCTTAAGGTTGAAGTAGTTACCTATTGATAATTAAAGACAATAAGCCTCATCCAGCAAGGAAGATTGGTAAATCCTCACTGAAAGTATTATGACTTCTCATTAATTTATAGGCTAAGTTTGATCCTCTGTAATCCAAATTTAGTGTTAAAATGCTTTGTGTAGAATCCTTAAATCGAAGCCTTGCCTGCTGAAATATCATTTCAAATGTCACCTGTTATAAACTTCCAGTAATTCTATTTATTTTAAAAGTGTTCAATGGTATTGATTTTTGTTAGCCTTTCTGAAGAGTTAAGATGTGGATTTGTTAGAGGGCAATTTTACATTCATCTTTCTAAATAAATATTGCTCAATTTCTGTTTAGAAAAATAACATACTCCATTACAGCAAGAAATCCTCTAAAAAGCTCATCACAGGAATTGTGATTTTCAGGAAGAGGATCAGAAATATGCTTATTCAAGATGACAGTGTGAACAAGACCTTCTAGAAATGAAAGTTTTGTGAGAGCTACAGAAACAGCTTCATCAAAAACTACTACAAGATTGAGGAACATTGCATTGCATGTGGGACAAAATCTTGCATCAACTGCTAGTGACAACCCTTCATCAGAGCTCTTTCTAGTGTAGTTATGTTGTTTGCTAATTTTTTTTTAATCTGTTATCTCTTGAATAAGTGAAAACTTCTACACGATACAGAAAAGTAAGAATTGGGGTGGAAAATAACATTCCCAAGATCACCGCTACCTGAAAATGAATTTATGTGTTTTTCCAGTTAACCTTACAGGCAGCTCAGCACCATATCATTGTTCAGTCACTCCTCCCACCCAGTGAGATGGTGAAGAGAATCAGGAGAAAAATCAGATAGAACACATGGGTTGGGATAAAATACTATTTACTAAGACAAAAAAAAAAAAAAAAAAGTAAAATAGTAATATTAATGATAGCAATACATATTTATAAAACAAATAACACACAACAGAATTGCTCACCAATTGCCAACTGATGGGCGGTCAGTCTATGAGCAGTACTTGCCCCTTAGCCAGCTTCCCACTGTGGATTTTATTGTTTTTTTTTTTTTATTATTATTATTATTATTATTATTTTGCAGAGTGACACATGCTGTGGAATATCCCTTTGGCCAGCTGAGGTCAGCTGTCCTTGTTCTGCCCCTTCCATCTCCTTGTATCTCCTCAGCCTTCCTCAGTGTCAGAAAAGTACAAGAAGCAGAAGCATTTTGGCCCCAACAACCCCAGGCAACCCTACAGCTTTGGGGAGGCAACTGCAAAGCTGCCTGATGGAAAGGGACCTTGTTATACTGATGGTCAGTGGGATGAATATGAGCCAGCAGTGTGCCCAGGTGGCCGAGAAGGCCAATGGCATCCTGGCTTGTATCAGGAATGGAGTGGTGAGCAGGACCAGGGAAGTCATCCTGCCCTGTACTCGGCACTGGTGAGGCCTCTAAACACTACTGTGTTTAGTTCTGGGCACCTGAGTACAGAAAGGACATGGAGGTGTTTGAGCAGGTCCAGAGAAGGGCAACAAAGCTGGTGAAGGGCGTGGAGGATATGGCTTATGAGGAGAGGCTAAAGGAACTGGGGCTTTTCAATCTGGGGAAGGGAAGGCTGAGAGTGGACCCTATTACTCTCTTCAAATACCTGAAAGGTGATGCCATGGTTTATGATTTTTGTTATCAATATTCCCCATTATAACATCACTTAAAACGTGGAATTAAAGAGTTAATACTCCAGTTCAGTGGACTGACAACTTTCCAGATATCTTCCTAGTCTTCCTCTTTTGGGCCAGTGGTCCTGCAGGTCTGCTGTTCCTCCATCACGGACACGAATTGATCTAGATAACTCCGTGACAGCTGATTGCAGCGAGAGCAGGGTTGGTCTCTTCTCAGTGGTGACAGGATGGCAGGAAATGGCCTTAAATTGCACCTGGGTAAGTTTAGATTGGATATCAGGAAAGCCTTCTTTACAGAAAAGGTTGTTAAGCACTGGAATGAGCTCCCCAGGGAGGTGGTTGAGTCACTATCCCTGGAAGTGGTTAAAAACCTTTTGGATGTGGTGCCTGAGGGACATGATTTAGAGTTAGGGTAATATGATCATGATGTGGTTGGACTTGATGAACTTCAAGGTTTTTTTCCAACCTGAGTAATTCTATGATTTGTCATCTTCCATACTGTGCATTATTACAGAAGCACTAGAGAAAGTAATTTGTCTAAGACTGAATTCCTAGTATTATTATCCATGTAACATAAGTAACCCAGAAGCAGACTGCTGTGATATAAACATTGCAGTGGAGTATCTGCATTAAAGAAAGAAACTGGTTTCTGCTGGAAGCATATTTTCACAAGGAAACACTCCCTTTGGGTCAAGTACTGTCACAGTTATGAGCAATAGTTTCATTTACACCAAATTAATTCTCAACTTTTTTTGAGAGTTGCAATGAAACACAAGAGGCCTTGAACTGGATCAAAATTATGATGCCTAATATAATTGATTTGCAACCATTCTACTCCTGCAGGTTTCAGAATTATAACTATGTTGCTATTCAACCACTGCTGAGAGAATACTCATTAAAAGTGAAAAGCGGGCCAAGAACTTCGATGAACTCTTTCTATTGTTTTAGTAGGTAAGTCAGTCAGCTATACAGCGTACAGAGCAAAATTCTTGCTGTTTGTATAGCCTTAAGCTGTTCACCTATCCCATTAATAGCATGCAGTACGTAATTTGGCAGCCACTTTACCTCCACTGCTGCTAGTGCCTCACAAAGGACTGCAACTTTGATATTTCTTTTGTGAGAGGCAGAAATATAAGCACAAAACCTTATAGATGACAGTAAGGGATTACTAGATTATGATGAAGGAGAAAACAGCATTTAAATCTCAAAGGAAGGTCCTGAGTGCCAGTGTTATGCACAACCAGCATTCCTTTCTCGTGGCAATGCTGATTAGGAAAGAATTTGTGGTGTAATTGGTGAGGCAAGAGGGCTTCAGGATAAACAGTTTTGCCATCTTGTCGAGTAACAAGAGAATAGGATCTAGAATAATACTTTAGCCTCTCCAGATAGTGAAAACCTGGTCATATGCCAAAGTGTCTTAAAAGTTTATACAGATGCTAACTTCTTAATTAAAATTGCTGGCTAATGCCTATACTGATGCAATGTTTGCTTTTGTCACCTGGAGTTTTCAAGAAACACTGGTAACTTTTGGCTTTTTGACAGTCCTAGCTTTTCAGAAGACAGCCAGAGCAGGACAGCAGTCATTCGTGAAACCCTGTCTAATATGTGTTTCGCACATAGGATGGAAAAGAAATAGGCTGCAGGCTGAAATCAGAGGGCAGAGTCACATGCTTTAAGGCAGAGTAAGAAGTTAAATGCACGCATGGTTCATAATTTTCCATTGGCTTGCTCTCGATTGCTTTCTCCTCACGAGCTGGATGACTAGGATCGTTCTCAGCAGGTGGTTAATTTCCTTGCATGTCGTCTATAGGTGGATTTTGTGTCTACGCCTGGGGGGCAAGGAGGGGTCTTTGTGTTCTCTAGGTAGGAGTAACTCACACTCTTGCATTCATAGTAATGCTTCAGAAGCATAGTTCTGCCTGAGGAAAGAGGGGCTTTTCGAAGAACTAACCTGAGGAGGATAGCAAAATAAATGCAGGGCAATCATTTTAATTACATATGATGGTGCTCATGCCTTTCAAAGACTTCTGGATAACACCAGTGCTATCAGTCTACTCCTTCCAGTGACTTATCTTTAAATTCCAGTAATAGAAAGTGAGGCAGCTTCTCAAAAAATAATAAAAAAAAAGAATTTTATGAGCTGCTAATGTCTCATGCTCTGCATACTGTGTGACCACACAGGTGTTTTAAGAACCCTTGGGGAACGTCTGCACTGATATAGAAAGGAAGAAGTTTTCATTTCATGAATCACTAGATTGGCAGTGATCCATTACGGCTTGTCACAGATGTTATGGAGCAAAACCAAACTACTGCCCTGAATTTTATACCCCTGTGACTGGAAAATGTGAACCCAAGGAATTTGGAAGTTGGGTGACTCCAGCTGTAGTCATCCACAGCAATCTTATTAGCTATTACTGTCATTAGCATTTCAGACACTTTTTCTTAAATGACTTTGAAACTGGTTCTAGAGATTAACCCTTTAAGATTTTCCCAGTGTTAACTACTCTCTCCTGTCAGAGAGGAAGTATAATAGTTCTGAGTATCATTTATGGACTGAATGCAATATCAGGTTGCTGCACTGAAGGATTTGTGTATTAATCCCTGTACAGTGATAAAGTAGCCCTCAGATATACACTGTATACCAGATACTAAAGAGCTTGGTATTACTTTATTAGTGATAGTGTTAGCCAAGGGACGCATCTCTGCCTCTCATCTGACTCAAGCCAGAATTCCATGAATGTTCAGTAGATACTAGTGGTGAAAACTGAGTTAGCCAAGATAATTACTCCTTCTTACTCTTCCTGCCTCAGAACAGTAAAAGACTAAAGAAACATCTTTATGAAACTAAGAAAACAGCATTCTTCAAGAATGTAGAATACTGATGGGGATAAAGGAGACTTTTTTTCTATATTGGCAATCATTCTCTTTTCTGAGAGACTCATCGGTGGAAGAAATAGTTCCATAAATTCTGAGGTAACCATAATTGACTTTCTTTCACTATTATATGTGTGGCTGTTGCAAGTTTTTAGTAGGTATTCTCTTATTCTCTCCCATAATCTCTTCCTGAAGCTGTTGTCAGTCTCACATTAGTAACTTGGAATACTTCCCTGAATTTAAGGATAATGCTTTTGTAATCTATTTGCATAACGTAAGGACAGGGGGCAGCAGATGTAGTTGCTCTAAAAAACTTTTGGAAGGAAAGCAGTGGTCACAGTTCAATAATAAAGAAGGAATTCCCTTTCCAAGAATCAGGGCTTTCCAAACATTTTGAAGAAGATGATCTCCAAATAGAAATGCTTCCCTTGGGGCTGTCAGACCTGAAGTAAGGTTAGGGAGCAGCAAACCTCAGAGTTCACTCCTTTTGGCCACACATTGAGGTGAATTGCTTCCACCCTGTGCTCCCAGAGCTGGCTATGCTCCTTTACCAGGTTCTCTACCACTGCTGCTAGTCATAACCTAACATTTCCCATACATGTGAGATGTTTGTATTATAAGTTAAGCATAAAATACTCTTGTTTTAAATGAAATAAAATCCTGAGTAAGTTGCGTACAAAAAATACTTGGCACTGAACTTGGCACTTACTTACTTCAGTGCTGTAGAATTTTCTTCAGACTGTTTCTAGCTGCCACCATTCTGCAAGCGTCATTCACTGCATGCAGCACGAGCAGAATGTATTCTGTCATTTCTGCAGAAAACATTTTTTGTCCCTGTGAAATTCTAAAATTTTATTTCATTACCTTGAAAGCTAAGATTTAGCATAGTGAACATCAGGCAATCAGTAGTACTTAATCTACTAGCTCAGCAGAACACCAAATTAATTCAAATTTGAGAAAAAACTCTCCATCTGTAGCAAAAGCATGTTCTCAATTACATATTGAATTAAATAAGAGGTAGGAATATTTCTGAAAGCTTGAAATTTATAGTTTCATTAGACTGAAAAATTAAACCTAAAAATGTGTAAAAATCTACATTAATCATTTAGGTTTAGCACATAAATGCAAATGGCTTGGAACTGAGCTTCATTTCAAACTGTAAGTAATAATTACCTAGTGACACCTCATGAGCTTCATTAGAACCCTGCTTTTAATAAAAGTGGGGAACACTGGGGATCTCCACAAATAAGAAGATTATGGTATTTAATCAGAACAAAATGGTAATGATAAAGTTTCATTATATAGCATTTCCAAATATGAAATCAAGGAAGATTACATGAGTGGATTAAAAATTCATTTTCAAGTATTTTATTTTATGAATTCTTTCCTTTTTGTGAACTCTTTGATTTGTACAAGTTAGTTTTGGTACTTGAAAGAATCATACTCAACAATTAGTAGATGGAAAATTATTTTTGCCAAACTACTGTTTTTATACAGTCTACAACTGTTTTTAGTCTTCATCAGAATTTTAGTATTTTCTAGTCACAGTTTGAGGTTTGTATTGATCCTTTTTGTCACAAAGTTTTTTTTTTCTGGTTCCTGGCTAGTATATGTATTGTCCATAAAATGTAAGCTCATGTACAACCACACATGTATGCATGTGACAATTTTCAGTCTGATGATGCTAAAATATTTTTCTTTGTTTGGGGTCATGAGCAGCAGTTCAACTATGTACAGAATTTAGGAGAACAAAAGAGAAGATTAACAAATAGATTTTTCTTTTGTCTTTGCTTTGTTGTTTTTCAAACTTTATCTCTTGCAATATAGCTCATTAGCAACCTGAGTGTTAGTGAGGTAATATTTAACTTCTAACATCTGTGTTTTTTTCACTTCCCTTTTTCATATATATCATATGATATCATATTGATTTTGTTGTTGTTTAGCATGTATTAGTATTATCATAGTCTGTATGCATGAACTTGTTGGGAGGAAGAGGCAGTGGTAAAAATCCCACAGAATTTAAACTAATATTGAAAGTTGAAATTGAAGAAAATATACTGGAAAAAATTTCATACAGCCTATTCTAGGTTTTAGATCAAAATATCAATAATGACTATTAATTTTCATCTTGTATTCTGCAAAGAAATAATTGTATATGGTGGTAGAAAAACAATATGGATCTTCCTTCTTTATAGGCGTTTGGACTGCTATTTAAAAAGTACAAGGGAATCATCTTACCTAAGAACAACAGAGAATTTTATCATGCATACCTATTACGAAGACAAGGGAAGTACAACTTAATACTGAAGAGAGAAAGACCTTCTCATTCCACAAAACAGATTTTGGATGAGAGTGAAGTCTCTCCCACAGTTCAGGTTTAATCTCCATGTAATCCCAGTAAGCCTAATGACTAAATAATGTGTTATCCTTTTTGTTCTCACACCAGTGAAATCAGACTCTGTATTTTGCTGATGTTTTTTCTACAATCACCCCTAGATCCTTCCAGAATACTGACTGTGTGTGTGTCTGTGGAGGAAATGCTTCTGATAATGGCTTTGTCAGGTTGTACACAGGATGGAATCCGGATGCACTATTCTGGACATCATGCTGTACTCTGGTATTTTACTTAACAGTGTTTTGTTAAAAGAGAACCAATGTATATTTGGTATTCCTAAACAGAACAAAAGCCTTAACCCCTTCTTCATTCTTCATTTTATGCTTTTTCCATGCTATTGTAATTTGTTTTTTCATTTACAGTCTAGGAGTCTAATGTATCTCATTCCATTGCTTTGACTATTGCAATATCTCACCAGTGCACCTCTACTGTCTGTGGTGTTTATAACTAGTCCAAGTACTACCTTTCTAGACTCCTCTTCCATCTGTTCATGCTCAGATTCAAATGTTCAGTTCTTTTTATTTAGCCATGTTATGACTGTACAAATCAGAAGGTTAAATAAGAAAGATCCTTAAACTGTTTGGATTTCTGTGCCCAACAGTGTAGATGGGTTATACAAGTCACACTTCAGAACATGTGATTTTTGCACTTCTGAAGTTGTGATTTGAATTGCCCCAAATGTCAGATTGCATGTCATTCATCCTACTGGTCTCAGCATGAAATTGATATTTGTGGAATGGATCAAAAGAACAAGTGTTTGTTGTGACCTCTTTCAAGTTTCCTATGTAATAATAATAGTAAAGGGTGATTCTTGGAGAATACTTTTGTTTTCTTGTTGGGTAGTTGGAATTTTGTGTGATTTCATATATTTTTCTCATTAAAATCTATAATATTTAGTCTTTCTGTGATTGCATTCAACATAAAATCCACATGTTCACAGGAATGAGAATGTATAAGTTTGTTATCTGTAAGTTCTGCCTTGATTCCTCTTCTTTACTGTGATTTTTGTTGGTTTGGGTATTCTCAAATTCTTGTTTTTCATTTACACAGAAAAATAATTCTTTGACTGCTGATTTTAATCAATGTAATCAATTCAAGATATATTACTTTACCCAGTGCTCATTGCACCATGCAGTTGCAGCCTTAATAAAGCATTAGTGCTGCTGTTTTTCTCATTACATTTTCCTAAAGGCATTTTTGAACCCATGTATTTTCTTCACCACTGTTGAAGCTTCATTACAATAAAAAAGAGCCTCATTCTTCTGTAGCTGTAGTTTTTGTAGCACGCTCTTATGTTCTTGATGACTTGTTTCTCTTTCCAAATAGCTTCAAATACTTTTCAGTCTTATTAAGTTTAATTCTGAGAAATTTGTGCATTACATTATCTGTAGCAATCAAATTCTTCATACCAGGGACTGAAAAAGTCATATTAAGGTCAAATACGTTTAGCTGTATGTTGTCTCATTAGCAAATTACTTCAGAGGATAAGATATTTTGAAGAAATACAATAGTAAGTAGGTATTAGAAGTTCGTGAGCAGAGAGGACACATAGTGTTTCAAAACTCTCAATCATGTATAGAATATCTAACTATCTCAGACTATGTAACAAAACCACGTTGGTTCCAAATTACTTTTGGTTACATTGAAACCTTATCTGATTTAACAAAATGTGTACAACAAACAACTCCCACACTGAGATTGACTGGAGAAGTCTCACTTTGGCACAAAATGACTTCTGTCTTTATCTTTTTTGATATTACTGTGGTCTGTAGGTGAATCCAAGAATATTCATCATAATGAGAATTTGTAGGACTGTTCCTGAGGTCCTTGTCCATCATAAAAGTTTTTGCTGCTGAGAAAGCAGTACCTTCAGGCTGTTCAAACAAATACAGCTGTTCCATTTTCTAGCCATATGCCTAGACTGAAATACTAAAAAATAATATATTCCTTACAACATCTGTGACATTTAGTACTAGAAGTAATAATGATGGATGTCAGAGATATTAATGATGGTCATATACAATAAAAGCTGAACTTAATGACTTTCAGTTTAGGTATAAATGTTTATTGAGTTACAATCAGAACTTTAATTGTTAACGCGTGTCAAAAAAATTTATTGATATGTTTTGGAAATTATTTCTCCCTGCACATTTGAATTCAGAAGTATGAATATTCAGAAAATGTGTTTACTACACCTAAGAGCACTGTAATAATGAAAAGAAAAGCTTAATTCAGTTTAAAATGAATGCCCAACAAGTAAATCATTAAAAATGAAATATAAATTACTGCAATATCTAATGACTCAGTTATGTTATCCAGAATGAGTATAACTGATCCTTTGCAGTCTCTAGATGCAACTACAAGTTATTTTCAAACTCTTAGTCAGACTCTCAGCCTTCCTGAGTTTTAAGTCAGATATATTATCTAGATGAGCTCAAACATTTAAAAATGTTAGTTCATAGCTTTTCTTTCAGTGTCATCACCTCACAGAGTTATCACTACTTCTATTTGCCAACCTAAAAGTACACTCAGTCATCACTAACTTCTTTAAAATTACCTGGCTTGAGAGAAAACCACCTACTATTATCTTATGCTAATGTGGAAAGTCAATACCTAGATTAAGTCAATAGATGTAAGGAGACATCAGTGGGAAAGGTGATGTGGAGTGAAGAACTGCACCGGCTTTACCCAGCACAGCTGTAGGTAAAAAAAAATATGTATATCAGACCGTTGTCTTATGACCCTGAGAACATTTGTATACTCTAATCTCTGTATTTAAGCACAATAATGTAAGCAGGAACAAGAGATGCCCCTCAATTAATTAAGAGATTAATTAAATGATGCGATAATAAACTATTTTCATAAGGTTCATTCTAATGTCTGGTTGCTTTGCCTGAAATATGGTAGTAAAAAAAAAAAAAAAAAAAAAAGAAAAAGTAACAAAAGTCAGTTGAATGTGACCCGTTTGGATGGCCTGCACATCTGATCAAAACGGTACAGCTATTTTGGGTGACTGCTGGAGAAGGTACACATGCACAGCTTTGACGCTTGAAATTAATAACAGTTCACAGATGATTTAAACAGGAATTGAGATTGCAATGACTTCTCTCAGGCCACAACAACAATGTAAATCCGTTGAAGCTCTGGGATAGGAAATATTGTTCTATGGAATATGTAGCAAAAGGCAGTGTTTATGTCTCTTTAATAGTAAATCTCAAAGTTAAGAAATTGTGGACTAAATTTATACTGTTTTTTGTGTGTGTGTGAATGATTTTTGAAGCTCATTTAACAATGTCAATTTAACTGATGTTGCAATCATATTTCTCAGTGCAGTAATATATTGCAAGGGTAAAATTCACTCAGGATTGAGTCTCATGTGAGTTCTGATGAAATGAAAGAGTGGCAATTCAGAAGAATAAAAGGTTTAAATCTTCTCTGATTTGGACTCTGATTTAGGCTTTACCCAGCACAGCTATAGCCAAAAGCAGAGTATATCAGACCAGTGTATTACGACCCCAAACACTAGGCTTTCATTTAGGCTTAAAAGAAATGTACTCTACGTTGGAAGCAATTTTGGAAATATTTAGTTGTAAGTTTTCAAACAGTTAAAATTACAAGCAGTCAAATATCACCGGTTTTATTGGAATTATCACTGAGATTTAATCAGTACATTATTATCGTTCTTTATCTCAATACCTGTGGCGATTGAATTCTAACAGCTGCACAAAGTGTTTAAAAAGATAAAAGCTCTTGTGATTCATTGTTTCTAGAACCACACTTAGCATAATAAATATGTAAATATTGGACAGTTTTTCAATACGTCTGCCTTTATTTGATATTGCCAAAAATAATAAGGTAAATGAAAGATCAGTTTAAATGTACATAACAGAAAAGAAGCAAGCCATAATGCTTTTGTTTGGAAAAGGAGTTGCAATTAAAAAGAGGCAGCTGTTATGGAAACCTTAACATTTAATAGGGGGATCTATAAATAATGATTTATAGTGAGAGAATGCAATTTCTTGAAATGGATCAAGCCTGAATTAAACCTGCTCCTAATGCGTATGAGTTTTTTATATAGTTCTATGTGATCTGCAAAATGTCACTTAAATGATAGCCAGGGATATAATTTATACTTCCCATGAGAAAACTGAAACAAAGTTAAAGCTACAGAGAATATAAAGCACACTGCACCTTCCAGTCATCTACTCCACCTTGTAACATCTCTACAAAGGCCCTTTTTACTGCAGTTCTTATTTTTTCTTAATACTAGCATTGGACATTTCATGGTATCTCTGGGGTCTTTGAGGTTCGTGGGATCATATATCTAAGGAGAAGTTTTCTACCACAGACTAGTGGTAAAAAAGAACAGGGAGCAGCATTATTTCAGAGATTATCTTCAGCGTCAGAATGTATATAAAAGTACAGAGAAATATTTATGTGGGGGAAAGCATTCAGCTTGTCTGTATAGATTCATAATGATAGCCACTCCTGTGGAGGACAGTGCTGCCTAGTTAACTGTTTTTTGATGCAAAGGCTGCAATGAAGACATTAATTTTCCTTATGCACAAGTTATGTGAGGGCAAATCATACAGGCAGTTCATAAGCATTGTCCTGTAGCAAATGAAAGTTGAATTGTCAGTGGAATAACCTGGGTGAGTCTTGGACAATAACATCCTAGCTTCTTTGTGAAACTCAAGAAGCAGAACTCAGGACAGGTTTTTTACCTCCTAATGCATCCAGCATCTTGTCTTGTGGCTTCAGTTCTGGAGTGTCCGTGATCAGAAGTCTGCATCACCTCCCTGGTTCTTCTTTGCTAGAAAGGGAAGGATATTCAGCAGTTCTGCAGATATTCTCTTTACGTATGCTTCTGCCAATAGCAGAAGTGATTGGGACGGTGCCTGGAGCTTCTTCTGGTACTGATGGCTTCATGCAGGATAAGCATTAATGCTAAGATACACAAGTAAGAATATATCCATTCTATGGACAAGTACTGCTTTAATCAAAACCAAACTGGATGTTTTCTCTCCTAGTTGCCTGTATCAAAATCTGCTTCAACAAGGTTACAGTGGGGTATCTCTGTGCTGATAGCAATACAGTATTGCCACTCATGCTAGAGGTGGGAGCACAAAGCACATTTTCTCAGAGCTAGTAGCACTTCAGTAACTGAGAAAACACAGAAAATAACCCCAAATTATGTTAAGAAATTAAAAAGATTAAAAAACTGGAAATGAGTACAAAAGCAACAACAAAAACCCCACCAGAAATGAAAAACAGGAACAAACTTTTGAGTAACGTGCTCACTTACCCAGTCCATTCTGATAGCCTGTTAGTCCTATAAATCAACAGTGCAGATGGAGGGAAACACATTTTTAAAATTTAGTTATGCTTGGTTAGAACTATAGTGTTCCATAAAACAGATAAATCCAGAAATGTTACAGTCTTTATCCTTGTAGTCTGAGTTGTAAAATGATGAACATGCAAAGATGTTGTGTAACTACTACATATATTTAGGAAATTCAGACATTCAGGTGATTTGTTGACTCCTCACACTTTTCTGTTCCAGCCTGGGTTCTCCACAAGCTACAGGGGATATCTGCTCTGCAACAGAGCATCTCCTGATCTCTGTCTGGCATTCTATGCCCTTTTTAAAACGTGTTTCCACAGCAGTACCACCAACTTGGTTGATGGGTCTAGCCATGCTCTGTGGTGGATTCATTGCAGAACTGACTGGATGTGCATGTGTTGAGCGCAGGGCAGCTCTGCTCTCCTCCTGCATAGGCCACCCCCACAGACCTTCCAGCTACCAACACCTCGCCACATACACCCCAAAAATATAAGTAAAATTGCTGTGAAAAACACATTGAGAATTTCTGACTTTTGGAAAGTTTTGATTATATGGGAAATTCAATTCTCTTTCAAATTTTCGCCCCTCTTTCATACACACAGTAGGTTATCACTTGCTTTGTGGAAATGTGGAAAGCTGAAACTACAAAACCTCAATATCACTGATTAAGAACTGAATGACATAATCCAGAAGCCAGCCATGTAGCTGAGCCTTTGTTTTCAGAAAACATTTCTTTAATTCCTTAGCACTGCTAATTCAAATTGCCATCTTCATCCTACCAACCAAAGTCATTCTGAAATCTAAGACTGATTAAGAAAAAGTGTATCATCTCTAAAAAACCTTAAAACTTCTAATTTTTGATAGCTGACTTCCAATTAGCCAATTACTTTTATTATTGTGCTCAGACTCTGAGAACCTCTAAAAATGCCGTTATAAGCATCAGTTGTTTATGATCCTGCTGTTGTAAGACACAATGCTATTTACATCTTGGCAGGTGTTTCATCTCTGGTGCCTGAGAGATACATCATATATCTCTGTTTGGAAGCTTTTCAGGAGTATTCGTAATTAGCAGTGCAGCTGTAGATCCAACCACATCCAATTTGACACCTTTGAAACAACCATTAAGGAAAACATATCTTGGGTTTTAGTCAGCACAGTAAGTATCCTGTAAAGATTAGTAATCAGTCAGTGCTGTCATATGCCAGCAGGTGAAACAAGAAGTCTCTCTGGCCTTTTCGAACATGAACTTCCAACATTAAGTTGTTACAAGATTTGCTTGCTTAGTTTTAAAGCATATAACTACAAAGCAGTCTGCTATGATGCTGAATGATCTAAGAAAATAAATAAATAAATAAAGAGGTCTCAGCAAAGACATATTTAGCTTCTGCCCAATGTAAAATATGCTTCATGCAGAGGGAATAAAAGAAACAAATATACAGAAAAAAAAAAAAAAGAAGCAGATTA